TATATAATCTCATAAAGGTAAAAAACGATATATGCAGTGTTAATTTCATTTTAGATGTCAAAAGGGTCTCTCTCTCTATCTTGCCCTCCCTCCCTCCCTCCCTCTCTTTCTGCCCTTGGTCTGCCAGTCCTCTTCCCCCACTTTCTTTCTCTCTCTCTCTCTCTCTCTCTCTCCCTCCCCCCTCCCTCTCTCCGATCTTCTGCTCACCTGGCAAGCTGGCTTCAAGCTGTTCTCCAACAAGCTCAGGGGTAGGCAACTTCGACTCTTTTATGACTCATGGACTTCAACTCCCAGAATTCCTGAGTCAGCATAGCTGGGCTAGCTAGCTCTCTCCTGCCCTTCCTGCTTCCTGCTTCCTCAGAGACGGAGCAAAGGGAGGAGCCCTGCCCAAAAAGCTTTTCAGCTTGTCGGAAAACACTGTGAGTCTACTCTCTTTTTTACACACACAGAGAGAGAGAGAGAGAGAGAGAGAGAGAGAGAGAGGGAGAGAGAGAGAGACAGAGACAGAAGCAAGGAAGTGCAAGTGCCTCTCTCTGTCTATGTCTCTCTCTGCAAATGGCAGAGGAGGCTGGGAGCCACAGGGGAAGGCTCAAAGAGCCGCATGCGGCTCCGGAGCTGCAGGTTGCCGACCTGTGTTCTACACAGTAGCTCTTCAGTTTCTTGAAGACAGCTATCATGTCTCCCTGCAGTCTTCTCTTCTCCAAGGCTAAAACTTGGTGACGCCAATTATTTCTCATCCATTTTTCCTAAGCTCATCATCTTGATTGTTCTCCTTTGATCATGCTGTACTCGGTGTCCTTCCTAAAATGCAGGGCCCAGAATTGCATCCACCCAAACCGTATAATACCTCTTTTTGCTTTTGACAGTCTTGACATGGACACATTGTCAAACATTCATATAGATATAATTCAGAGTCCCTAACCCCTGGGCCGCAGTCCACTACTGGACCGAGGCCTATTCAAACAGGGTAGTGTGAGAGGCAGGCCGGTGTGTAAGCACATGTGCAGTTGAGCTGCATGGCATGCGCATGTGCGCTGCTTTTATGGTCCGATTCCCCTCTCCCCACCTCCAGCCTGGCCGCCAAGCTGCAAAGGTTAGCGACCGCTGCTTTAATTGATATCATAGTTCAGCCTACATTTTACCATATTTTCTACCCAAACCTCATGGGAAACTTTGCCAAATGTTTTGTTTAATTGAAGTGGTGGTTAATGTTACATATTTTCAAAAACAAATTTAAGTGAATTTTTACCAACTTGTTACATGGCAGGAATGGAACTAACTTGTGGGACTAGTTTTGCCCATTAGGATGATCCATCCAGGCTCAAAGGGGTTATTTTTCTTATTGTTAGCTGCTCTTTTGCTACCTTGTTAAGCAAACAGACCATTTTAGAGACATGTTGCACTTTCCCCAATCAAGGATTTTTGGGGTGTATTTTGCTTATTTATCTTCAGAATATCTTCTCTCCATAGGGAAAAGTCTACAACGAATTTTGTATAACAAAATTATAACTACAAATATAGGGTGAAGCAGGAATTGTTGACTCCTGGTTTGCCCTAAAGCAGGGGTGTCAAACTCAATTTCATTGAGGGCCGCATTAGCATTGTGGTTGCCTTAAGGGGGCTGGGTAGGTGTGGCCAGGGTGGGTGCAGCCTACTGGGTGGGTGTGGTGGGAGTGGGTGTGGCCTACTGGGTGGGCATGGCCAGATCTACATCGTTCACGTCAAGGATGCCTGTGGGGGCCTGGGCAGGAGTGGGACAGATCTGAGGGTCTCTGGCAGAAGGGGGTGGGACCAGGGCAAGTGCCAAGGCATGGTCCACTGGAGGAGCCTCACTGTTCCTCTCAGGCCATGTGGGGGGGCTGGATGGTGATGTGGACTGCCCGGAGCCCTGGGCAGCAGAGGTCAAATGCCAAGTCTGACCCTCGAACACCCGCAGCACCAAGCCCAGCCCCACTTCCCCAAGGGGGCGCCCAGCTGCACTTACTTCCTCCTCAAAGCTGCTGCTGCTGTGCTTGCTGTCTTTAGCCAGGTTGCTCATGATGGGTACAAGGGCAAAGTCAGAGGGAGGCCCATTCCCTCTCCATGGGAGGAGACGCGGCTTTGTATCCAAAGCTTTCTTAGCAATAGGATGGGAGACCCCCCAGGATAGGCCAGGAGGAGGGGGCAAGGGGATGGTGAAAGGGCAGCAAGGTAGGATGTCCCTCAGACCCTCCCTCTCCTTCTTTCCTTCTTTCCTAAGTACAGAGTGGTGAAAAAATATTTGAGATGAGGGGAGAAAAACAGGCAAGAAACGCAGCTAGGGAGGTGTCGCCTCCCTAGCATGCATCCAGGGGCGAGGCCGACGCAGCAGGGGCTGGTTCCTCGCTGTTTCCGGACGGCCTTGTGGAGCTAAGACTGAATGCGTTTCAGCATAGATGGCCACCACAAAATTGTACATTGGCTCCCGGCCAGCCTGGGCCAGGGCCAAGGCAGCGGGGGCCGTTCCCTTACTGTTTCTAGGATGGCTTTGCGGGCCATATGAAACTACTTCGTGGGCCGCATCCGGCCTCCTGGCCTTGTGTTTGCCCTAAAGCAGTGGTTCTCAATCTTTTTAATGCCGCAACCCCCCCAACCGGTCATAAGTTGAGGAGTACTCAACCAGTCGTAAGTCAAGGACTACTCAACTGGTGCAGCACTGTTTGCAGAATGGGACTTTGGCGGGCTCAGCAGGGCAGAGACAATTCCTATTGGCTTTTGAAAGCCAATAGAATTAGACTCTATTCAAGAGAGTCTATTCTATTGGCTTTCAAAAGCCAATAGAATAAAAGGGAGTAGCACAGCTAAGGAAAAGGGGGAAAAAATGGCGGACTGCGTTGTTTGGCAACCCCCGTGAAATGGTCGTTCAACCCCAAATAGGGTCCCGACCCACAGGTTGAGAACCACTGCCCTAAAGTATTTTCTCCATGATAGACAGTATGAAGAACAGAATGTACCTGTCCGCTCAAAGAGAAGTGGATCGTTTCTGTAAGAGAGGGCCTTGCTGTAATCCTTTGGCTAAACCCCAACAGTACCTGCCCTACTAGAATAGATCAAAAGCTGGATTTTGCTCTCATACGATGTGTGGTTCTCCACTTTTGTGTAATGGTGATGCATTCCATATCAATATGTAATAAACATTTTTATCTAGAACCTACTTATAATCAGCTACAATGCATGAATTGATTATCTTAATATTTTAACATGGTTTCTTAATTACATTTTGTCTTTAGTTTGCTTTACAAAGTTATAATTTCATTTTTTTAAAAGTACACAAGGTAGTTGTAAGATTTTCTCTTAAATGATTTTAAGAGATTAAAATCATTTAAGAGAAAATTAAATCAGACTGGGGGAAGCTGAAATCTAGACATTATTAGACTGTGTTACTCTGAAGTTCCACTAGACTGAAATATACAAGAGAATTTTGTTGAAATCAATAGGGTTTAATTCTGGTTGAACATATATATCTGGATTCTATTATCTACAGAAGGAAATGGAAGGTAAAATTGGATTAGGCTTTCCTAGTGCTGTGTAGGCTTCATCATTATACCTAGGTTGTATGTGACAAATATACACTGGGAGGGGATTCTTTTTTTTCTGAAAATTCAAACTCAAACCCAGTTTTGACAGACACATGTACTGATAGAAAAGAAACAATTTCCACATTCTGGCTTTTTCTATTTTTGCCTGGAAAATTACATTAAAAAGTTTTTTTAAAAAATAAAAAATGCTTACAGGAAAATACAGTAACAGTTAACAGTATTAAGATTCTGGCTGATCTTGAAAAAGCTAGGCAAGAGAACTTGAACCAGGAGATCTGGGAAATTAATAAAAATACATCCTGGATACAAACCTTTCTCTATTATCACTAGGAAAACTATATATATATACAGGACAGAAGCAACGGATGGAAAATAACCAAAGAGAGAAGCAACCTAGAACTAAGGAGAAACTTCCTGACAGTTAGAACAATTAATCAGTGAAACAACCTGCCCCCAGGAGTGGTGAATGCTCCAAAACTGGAAGTTTTTAAGAAGAGACTGGAATTGTATTGGGCAGGGGTGTCAAACTGCTGGCCTGCGGGCCGGACACATCACGAGAAAACTGCAGCCACCCCATTTCCAGCAATGGGGAAAAAGTTCCAATACATTGTGTGACGTCACGTTGCGAGTTTGACATGTCTGGTATAGAGTTTCCTGCCTGAGCAGGGGGTTGGACTAGAAGATCTCCAAGGTCCCTTCCAACATTGTTGTTGTTGTTGATGTTATGCTTGTGTCCATGTATTCACCAGAATTTGAGTCAAGTCAGCATCATACATGCCATTATTAAAAGCTAGAAAAAACACTTTAAAGCCAACAGTAATTAATGACATTCACCATGGCAACCATTTTATGAAGCTGTTCATAACATGCTTTCAAAATTCCAGATGAGTTTGCTGATCAAGCTTACAGGCTTCTGTGTTACCTATTGAAGAAGCAAATTGAATAGTTTTAACGTTTTCTGATCCACGTATTTCCCCTTTTTTTGCATTTGGTTATTGTGAACTGTACATCAATGACAATTTTATACATTTGTCCAAAGTCCAAGATGTTATTTATTGATGTATGTAAAATATTCCTCTGTTTTTCTTTGGGAAGTTCCTAGATTAGATTACATTGTAGCAAATAATTATTAACTTGTATTTTGTTCAGATAATCTTTCAGCATAATCTTGGTATAGAACTTCTTTGCCTTTTTAAATATATGTTAAGCTCCTGAAATTTTGAGCACAAATGTTTCACTTCATTATAGATGATACTGAACTATTTTTCTTCCTAAATGGATGGTTAAAGTGTCTGAACCATCAGAGTTAAAGTATTAAATCTTTTACACTGTTTATATTATTTGGGAACTTAAAGATGGCACTAATTAATATATCCGTGCAGAGTTGTTGCCTCTCTATGTATGTCAGCCCTGTTAAAGAATAACAAATATTTCTTTTTCAAGTCTGTGCGGAAGCCTTCAACCCAGATGAAGAGGATGAAGATACAGAGCCAAGGGTAAGCAAGATTGAACACACTATATTGTGTGTTATATGTAAAGAGCAATTTATTTTATCCTGTTCCTTGTGTGAAGTTACAAACTAAAGTGATAAATGAAGTAGTAGCACTTGTTCTTTGTTATGACTTTTGAGTGAATATAAAAGGATTCTCAAAATTGTTCCTGAAGGCTTTCCAACTGGATATTATTAATTAGCAAAATATTGGAGCCAGATCTTCCCTTTCTTACTTCTCCGGCCTTCTTTACTGAAGGAATGTGAAAACTGTTCCCTGTTATAGTTAAAACATTTTCAAAATGTTCTCCCTGACTATTTTCAGAATTATAACCCCAAGCACATTTAGCCTAAAATGTATTGATGTTTAGATGTTTAAACCACTTTGTGGTTTTTCTTTTTTTAGGTAGTTCATCCAAAAACAGATGAGCAGAGATGCAGATTGCAGGAAGCCTGTAAAGATATTCTTCTCTTCAAAAACCTAGATCAGGTAATTGGTTTGACCTATACTGTTTTATTTTGGCTTTCACTTTGAAGATTCAAAGCTTAAAATATATAAGTACAGATGCATGTTGATTTATTATATGCGTGGTTATAGCATGTGGATGAAATTGAGTTACTTAGTTATTTCAAAATATTCCTATTTTAGAATATTTAATTTGTAACAATCAGTACCAAAAGGAAGAGAATTTAACTTTAATACATTAATCAGATGTACATTCAATACCAGATTTTTAAAGAATTTTAGCTTATTTAGAAAGGAGTTACTGTTTTGACTAATCTTTCTTGTTCGCTGTTGCCTAGATCCAGGAATCTGGCTTGTTCCTCCTCAGCAAGCCATAATTATTAATTAGTTTATTCTTAGTTTCTATAATTATATAATTAGGATGCTCAGATCATTTCATATTAAGAATTTATTTATTAATTATTATGATTATCTTGCTTCCTAAGGAGACTCTAGGTCTAGGACATGCAGTTATTTCATGGGCTTAGCAATTATTGTTGGGGCTGTGGTTAATATTGTATCCGCTCTGTATATCTTGACTTAGACTTTCAGTATCATAGAGCGTAGGAAATTTTTAGCTGACGTGTTTTTTTAAACCTATCCATATTGTAATATTGAGCATTGCTTGCAGCTGTTGCCACCTTTTCTTTTCACAAATTAAATAAAGTATTACTAAGCTTTAAAATAAATAGCTTTATTACCTTATACTAAATTCCCTTCAATCCAGTCATTTTTAAATGCATGGGTAGTATAAGGAAAATAAATAGAATAGAAATTCAGAAATATTGAAATAAGCATCCAGTCATGAAAGTGTTGCCCATCACTTTACCAAAAATGTTTATTTTAAAAAACCTGAAGTGGCATCTTCCAGGGATATTGCTAATGAAGATTATGTATTTGGCTTTGCTATAAAATGATCTGAACATTTTTATTCTCTTCTGTTGCCATATTCTACTACTTGACAGTAATTAGCAAATATGAATATAAATTTTCTACAACTGTTACCCCTTTAGTTCTTGAGGTTTCTTAACAATGATTTGCTACAGGTTGCCTAGTTACAATTTGCGTTCTTTTAGCAAAGATTCAGAAGGACTGCATGCACTGGTAAATCTACTATGATAAAGCTCCATCGATAGGATTTGAATAAGGAACCTTGAGCTGTTTTCCCTCTGAATTACTATAATCCTTAATCTTTCCAACTTCCACCTGCTTTTCTTAGAAGGTGCTGGCAAATTTATTTCATGGTTCTTAGACAGTTCTTACTTAATCCCTTCTGTTTTTAGCATGTTCTGCAGCATTTTAGGTTTTAATAATTGAAAAGGTAATAATGGTAAAATCTGGTAACATTCAGGACAATGAATGTAAAGATCACTATAAATGAAAAATGTAATCTTGGGTAGGCCAAAAATAAAAAGTGTACCAATTTAATATGTAAAAATTGATTTAAATACTATTTATAGGAAGAAATAATGTATTAGGTAAATTGGGTAGCAGAGAAAAGATGTAGCAAGCAAGTCCAAGAAACAAAAACTACTTGGATTTTTTGGAAAAATCTTTGTTGCTAGTAGGGTAATGTAATAGAATCTTGAAAACCAAAGTACTTCCCAAGAATTAAGGCAAAATTATTCTGAGTCTCTTATTCTAACTGTCTTACCTGAACTCAAGAGCTCCATCACAATTTTCTAATCCACAATATTGTGAAATGTTTCCAGGTAATCACCACTAAATAAAAATCTTTTAATAAAGCTAGCCATTTGGAATATTTTTATTACTGTGTTACTCCAAAAATAAGACCTATCCTGAAAATAAGACCTAGCTTGATTTTTACACTTGCACCCAATATACTCCATCCATCCATCCATCCATCCCTTTCTGTTTATCTGTCTGTCTGTCTATCTATCTGTCTGCCTGCCTGCCTGCCTGCCTGCCTACCAGCCTACCAACCTACCAACCTATCTATCAAATTTATTTACCATCTATCTTATGTATCCATCTCGTATTCAACAACTCTGGGTGGCAACAGTCATAGAACACAACGGATAACATTATTAACAAATACAAAATTTAGCTTGTAAGCAGTAATAGGTATTATATATTTGATATGCAAATTATACATAATGCCTTTTTGGAATAAAATTTAAAAAAACAAAATAAAATAATATGTGCTTTTTGTTGATAAATATACAGTGCTTACACTAAGATATTTTTCTCCTGAACTTACATTATGATTCCTTCAGTATCCCCTGAAGACATTATATGGGTATATTTTAATTTTAACAATGATGGAATAAATATCTGTTCATTTATCTTATGGATGTATCTAAGCAATAAACTTTTCAGTTACGCAAGCAGTAATTTTTAAGTGAAAACTGGTTTTCTTGAAGCAATGTTTTACCTTAAATACATTCAATGGACATTTATACATCCCAAACCTCAAAGATTTAAACGGTAATTTAACTGACAACTTCAGTTAATTGAAAAAAAACCTTCTCTCTCTCTTCGTAAGGGGATCATTTTGTTGCAAGATAACAGTAGGACATTAACATTCCTATAATCCTTAATATAGAGATTGAAATTTTTCTCTTATTTTAAGGAATAGGATAAGAAGCTTTCTCTTGGCCCTTTGATTCTATTAAAGTACTTTCAAAATCTTCAAAGGGAGTATCTGCCAAAGAAAGTAGTTAAAATAAACACCAATCAGCCTATTTTAAAGTCTACATTTAGATTGATAATATCTGCTGCCAGAAAATATTAATTCATTATCCTTTAGACCAGTGGTTCTCAACCTTTCTAATGCCGCGACCCCATAATACAGTTACCCATGTTGTGGTGACCCCCAACCACTTATACATCACTGGGTGCCAGGGGCGTGACCAAAGAAAAGGGGGAAAAATGGCGGACAGCCTTGTTTGGCGACCCCCGTGAAATGGTCATTCGACCCCAAATGGGGTCCCGACCCACAGGTTGAGAACCACTGCTTTAGACTATCATCATTCTTTTATGTCACTTAAAAGCCTTATAGAGAATTAAATACATTCATATTCTTCTAAGCTGCCTCTTCTATAAGCAAGCCACTCACTGAAGGATTCCACTTATTAAAAGGCTGCAAAAGAGATCCATAGAATGTTACCTTCATCTAATGCTAAAGGACATAGCCCCTAATGCTTTGGCACAAGTGGTGAGATTTTACGCTGAAGCCATAGCAAAGTATAAGTGCCTTACAGATAAAATATATCAGCAGGCTATAGCAAGGCAAAATTTTATGTTTTTTCTATTTCTGTAATGTATGCCATAAAGTTGTTTCCTTCCTCCAATTTTCTCTTAACTGATTTTTATATGTACTAACCAAGGATTATAAAGTGGCAAATAAAGTAGATAGGTTTTATAGATCAGATTTTACAGGGTGAGTTAACTAGATTAGCTCCACAGGTTTTATGGGTGATATGTCTGTAATTTTGATGTTATCTTAAATTTAACTGTTTGTTTATCTATATGTACATGGATATTTTATTGTAATTATCTCTTTTTTCTTTACATTGGTTGCTGACATTGATAATAAATACATTGGTAAAAATTTTTGTTAGAGAACTAAATGCTGCTGATGTGCAAAGTTAAAGATTTATTTATAGACTGAGATCTTGAAATCCTGGAAGAAGTAAATCATACATCCTATTGGTTTCTTCCAAGCTTGCTGCCACATGCATTCCTGAGAAGTAACAAGTCTGGCCTTTGATGCAGACTTTGATGCACCAAGATATAATCTTCTTAGGTTTTACTGTTGTGATATTTGAACTGATTAGGATTTTTTGCAGAAGATTAGGCAGATACAAAGGGCAGAATCGCTGTATCATTAGGTCTTTTTCTGCTGTCAGTTTTCTGTTTCTTTGCAGAGACTATCTTGTAATATCTCAGTCTCTCTGGATTGTTAAAATAGATTTGGGGAAGACCTGAGGGAAATATTCCCCATCTTTTCTCTTGTGGAATTTGGTTAATTTGTCATGAACCTTTCCTTTTCCCTCTCCCTCCTTCAAGAGATGGTGCTTCCTGCCGTTTCATGATGTAATGGCACGTTCTCAGGCTGGCACTTTCTTTGGTGTATAAAATGATGCTTCTTACTCATTTTGATCAGCTAGAATTCAGTTCCATAAGCATATCTCTTATGAAGTGTGAAAATCACCAGATAGATGACTAAATATGATATAAATATAATATCTTCAAAAGATATTGATCTTTTGGATACCATACCTCTGTTTATCAGTTGCCTAGCACTTTCCTGAAACACTTTCAAAATATTTCAAAAGAGCAAAGCAAAGACTCTCAAAGCTGACCATGAGAACAGTAGTTGCACAGATAGCATTATAGCTGCCGTTCTCATGATCAGTTTTGAGATTCCCCAGCTTTTTTTTTTTTTTTTTTTAACATGGCAGACTTCTATTTGTTCTTTGGGGTTAGAAGATCTTAGAAGCAGAAGGGAGCTTTCTCTGACATAGAAAAGTTTAAAAAGTAAGTTTTTAGTTTGATTTGTATGTTTCTTGCCTTTATGAACAAGTGAGATGGCACTGCATTCAAAAACACTCTTCTCTGTAGTTAAAAAAGCTCATGACATAGACAAGAATATTTGGGGCAATATAAATGAACATGACTTAGTCATTATAACAAATGTTAATTGAAAATGCTTTTATCCTTTCAGGAACAATTGTCACAAGTTTTGGATGCCATGTTTGAAAGAAAAGTACAACCTCAGGAACATGTAATTGACCAAGGAGATGATGGAGACAACTTTTATGTCATTGAAGAGTAAGGAGCGAAAGTATTGCTCTGTGACAAGTTTTTAAATGTTTTTGACATAAATGTTGAATTAAATTGTACTAACTAGGAATGAGGAAGCTGAACTTTCCACGTTTCAGATAAAAAGGACAGACTTTGGAGAGCATGCTGTGATTGTAAGAAGGTTTACTAAAGGAACAGCATTTTAATTATCATTTTATAATGCAGCAATCAATTGAAAATTATATATGAGAAGCCCATATTGATATATAGAAGTTATTTATAGATGTTAATGGTTAAAAAACACTTTAATCCATTTCACACATAGCCATTTCATCTCTGTAAAGCAATATTTCAAGCAGAAAGATTTTTGTTTTACAAAAATGTGGTTATTGGATTTAAGGGTTAAAGATAGCTATGCTAGTTCATTCTCAAATATTACTGTGCTGATTGCTTTTCACAATGAACACTTTATTAAGCTTCTGATGTGTATGGTAAAATATGTGTGTTTGTAGCTTTCTGTGAAACTGAAATGGTCATGAATGTTTAATAACAACAACAACAACAACAATAATAATGAATAAAGTTGGAAGGGACCTTGGAGGTCATCTAGTCTAACCCCCTGCTCAGGCAGGCAACAATGCGAGTCTAAGGATTATGGTAAAAGTGACTACTGTAATTATATATAAAGTGACATTCTGAAGAATTCAGCTCAACTCAGTTGTCTTAGTTCGGGCAGGTTATTAGGATTCATGACTCCTTTTATTTATTGCTACAACAGTTTATATCCTTTCTTTAAAATATGTGATATGGTTTAAAATACTTCCAAATTTTTTAAAAAAATATAAACTGGAAGATCCAAAATCAAAAAGCACCTTTGATGATCTTACACAGATAAAACAACAAATTTTAGGATCTGGGCTGAATTTACAAGAATCCTGTTTATGTTATTCTAAACCATTGAGAACTTATTCTTTTACCAAGTCGGTATGATTGTTTACAGAATTTATTCCATAAGAATTTGCTTCTTGCTGCTTAAGCATATATTTAAGGCATTTTCAGTAAGAATCAGGGTTTTTTTTTCTAGTCTTGGGTTCATTCAGTTGTTTCTCATTTCTGATATTGAGATTGTGTATATGTTTTAACATAGAACTTTATTGTGAAAGAAAACTAAATTAAAGAGTCAAAGAGCTGTGGTGGTGCAGTGGTTAGAAAGCAGTACTGCAGGCTAACTCACTGCTCACTCCAGGAGTTCGATTCTGAACAGCTCAAGGTTGACTCAGCCTTCCATCTTTCCGAGATCTATAAATTGAGGACCCAGGTTGTTGGGGGCAATATGCTGACTCTGTAAACTGCTTATATAGGGCTATAAAGCACTGTGAAGCGGTATATAAGTCTAAGTGCTATTGCTATCAGACCCATATTTATATAATTAGTTTGCTAATAGTTGTGATATAATATGTACTGTTTTATTTAGCTGTGTGATCTCCCACCAGCATAAGCATTAAAATGTATTCATTTAACTTAGCTCCGAAACTATTTCAGTCATAATAAAATACAAGATAAATATCCAAATTTGTATGGAAAACTCTGTTACTAGACTGTGTATTTCAGCAGCTACTCATTTATGCTAGACCAGCTCTGGAAATTATCTAGGCATCTTAAAAAGGTTATATATAAACACAAGTTATTTCTTGAAAGCCTCCAAAAATTGTTTCCTCATCCCATTTTTTAAAGCAGCTGGAATATACTTATTTTTATAATGATCAGTATTAATCCTTTCTCGGAGGTGCATTTTAGAATACTACCGGTATTGTCCTCATGTTACCTGTCAGATAAAACTGTCAGATTAGAAAATGTGATCTGATATTTCTCTAAAGATGTACAAGCCAAGGAATCTTATGAAAGCAGAGGAAAAAATTCCCAACAAGTGTTTCTTGAATAGTACCTCTGCAGCCAAGAAATTAAAAGATGCTTGCTCCTGGGGAGGAAAGCTATGGCAAATCTAAACAGCATACTAAAAAACAGAGACATCACCCTGCCAACAAAAGTGCGTATAGTCCAGGCCATGGTTTTCCCAGTTGCAATGTATGGATGTGAAAGTTGGACTATAAGAAAGGCTGAGCGACAAAGAATTGAGGCCTTTGAATTATGGTGCCAAAGAAGACTCCTGCGAGTCCCTTGGACTGCAAGGCGTTCAAACCAGTCAGTCCTAGAAGAGATCAACCCTGACTGCTCTTTAGAAGGCCAGATCCTGAAGTTGAAACTCAAGTACTTTGGCCATCTAATGAGAAGGAAGGACTCCCTGGAGAAGAGCCTAATGCTGGGAAAGATTGAGGGCAATAGAAGAATGGGATGACAGAGAATGAGGTGGCTAGATGGAGTCACTGAAGCAGTAGGCATGAGCTTAAATGGCTCCAGTAGATGGTAGAGGACAGGAAGACCTGGAGGAACGTTGTCCATGGGGTCGCGATGGGTCGGACACGACTTCGTAATTAACAACAACAACCTCTGTCTTAGAGAAAACCAGAATAATGCTTTAGACTGGTCCCCTTTTTCTCTCCAAATTATCAGTGCTAAGTTTCTGAATGAAGATAAGTAGTTGGAAAACATTTAAATTTCGCAGACTCACTGATAATTAAAATACCTTTCTGCAGCTCTTTCTGTGAAAACATAATGCTTAAGTTCAAATAATTAAAATATGGACAGGGCAGGGCAGGCCCTTCGGTTTTTACAAAGGATTCTGAGATTGTAGCCTGTTGAGGCATTTAGAGCAACAGGAAGATAAGTGAAAAATAATATTTCACTATTCTCAGATTCCCCCCCCCCCCCTTCTCAGCAGTTTGATGCATCTGCCCCTATTTGCAAACAGTGTAAGGGAATTAACCTCAGTTCAGCTGTATAGATCAGAAGCTTATTTTGTGGTCATTTCTGCCAGCCAAGAACTCTTTTTCTCAGCTAGGCTTGCCCATATTGATCAATACAGTGAAAAAGATGGGAGCTGTGGGTGGGCAGTGTTTGGTGGCAAATAGGGATACATTCTGACAGGGCATGTTCTGTTCCAACCAGATGGAAATGTTTTGTTTTATTTTTACTTTAGAGAATAAACTACGTCTATTTTTATTAAACTGAGCTTTTATTAGCTGTGCTTTGCATTTGAACTAATGCCCGGGTTTTTTATTTTCCCATCTTTCTAGGGGATCATATGATATTTTTGTAACACGAGAAAGCCAAACTCGCTGTGTTGGTCGCTACGATAATCACGGCAGTTTTGGGGAACTCGCCTTGATGTATAACACTCCTAGAGCTGCAACTATTGTTGCCACCACAGAAGGAGCCCTTTGGGGACTGGTAAGTTTTATTTGAGGGAAATCTTTTAATATGTTTTGAATTACACAAACACAGTTTTTTTCATCCTTGTTTATGTCAGTAAATTGAATCATGCTGATTTCTCTCAGCTTCCTGTCTGTTATTACTAGCAAAGTTTCATTTGTTTTTAGCCAAAGGTCACTGTAGTAGGAATATGCAAAAAGCAGAAGGAAGAAAGGTGAAATTAAGATAGTAAAATAGAAAAAAAGTTGTAGACATGCAGATAAATCTTGATTTTCAAAAAATGGCAATATTTAAGCATAGGCTGCTTTGTTATATGGAAGTGAGAGCAGAAACATGAAGATTGAATGCAATGAAACTGAGATACTTAAGTGTATGCTGTCAAAAGTAAAGTGATTAGATCAAGAATGAATTAATATGTATTGAATTCAAAGGTGAGTGACCGGTATGGAAGAGTCAGCTTGAAACATTTTGGTTATATGGAGAGAATGAATTAGGATTAAGTTGAAAAATAAATATACGAGAAGAGAAAATGGATCAAGGGGAGAAAGATTAGATAAGATAACCTTTATTGTCATTTTTTTCCTGTGGGCACAACGGCACACATTAAAAATGAAATTTAGTTGCTTCCTCTCAAAAGTGTGCACATACATAACACACATTTAAAACATAATATGTACAGCATATGTATAGACTTATAACCTTACATATAAGTAACATATAAATATTATTCACTGTCCATCTTGAATACATAACGGAAGGAGGAAGCTTTAGAGTTCACAAGGTTAATACTGTATGGAACAAAGCTGTGACTGAATCTGGATGTTCTGCTTCAGATACCACAGAGCCTCCTCCTCCTCCCAGAAGGTAACAAGGGAAACAGGTTGTGAAGAGGATGTATAGTGTCCCAGACAATCTTGTGGACTCTGCTCAAGCAACGCTTCTGTGCTATGTTCTGGATGGAAGGGAGGGAACTGCCAATAATTTTTCAGCCATCCTCACCACTCTCTGTACTGCTTTCATGTCTGAAGCAGTGATGCTTCTAAACCAGACTGTGATGCTATATGAAGACTAAGTCATGGTTGGATGGAACTGAAGAAAACCTCAAAAAATAAAATGTGAGAAATGTAAAGACCCAAAAGGAGCGCTTGCAAGCAAGGATAGTTTGCAAGGATAGCTATGGAGAGGTGTAGGGAATGGTGTTGATGTAAATAGATTTAGTTGTATTTTATTTTATTTTTCTTTCGTGCTTTTAACTTTTTAGTTCAGTGTTTCTTACTCCATTTCTGTAATTTGCATAACATTGCTCACCTCAGAAGAGAACAGCATGATGGGTATGTATGGATGTTATGCAGCACACAAAGGACAATGAGATTTGCATGGCTTCTTATTTGATAAGTACTTCTAATTACATGGGAAGCATAGCATCTTACAAACATTACAAAGGCTGGCTTATTTGCAGTTTCTGTTGAACCAGGAAATATAAGTATTTTTCCTGATCAAAATGGCAAGCATACAAAGAGAACATTGAAAGTGAGAGGGAGGCTTTCAAAGTTATGTTTGAAATCATTACCATTTCAGTGGAGAATCACTTTTCGGAGGATATTCTATTTAAAAATAAGCAGTCAATAAAATAAAAATATTGCAGAGTAGTGGGGACTTCATCCAAGTCTGCATCAGGAGCACGTTATGGACATATAGTTCTTACATAACTATAAACTTATATACGTGGAATCTTCTTTTTGGGTCATAGGAAAATGTTTATACCATTTATCTGGTTGCAGTGCACACATGATATGTACTGTAGTACAAAAATAATATTGCTATGGTATTTGAAATGTTACAAGTAACACTGTCAGTTATAGCATATAAAACTCTGCTTGTGCAAGATCTGAAGAATCTCAAAACAACTTGATCATTTGCTGCCATCTAATGGAATATTATTGAAAAAAAAATAACATTAGAGTGAATTACTATGCAGAATCAGCAATATATCAGTTCAGATTATTCCTCCTTCTCAAGTTGTTAGAAGTTTTTGATGCAAACAGCATTAAATTATGTGGCTCTGCATTTTTTAAAACTGATTTCTTGAAGTGTCTTTCAACTGAGTAATTGCAGAATGGGGAATGGATAATCCCCAGAAATCGCTAGATTCATCATCTCTGTTTATGGAATTTGTCTGGTTTGAAATCCAGCAGTCTCTGGCAGGCTACAAACTTCCATCCTTCAAGTTAATCAATACTAGCTGTAGTAGTCATTGTCATGTTTAATAATGCACTTAAATGGGCAAGATTTCCTTGTTGGTTTAGGGCAGGGTTTTCAAACTTGCTGCGTCACGTGACGTGTCACGATGTATCGTAACTTTTTTCCCCTTGCTGGAGCTGGGCTGGGCATGGCTTCCACGTGACTACCATAGACATGCCCAGGAGTCGTATTTTTATGCAAATTTTCCAGCATTATGACAGAGCAGCTTTGCTTTTAGCCAGAAAATGGGAGAAATTGGCATGCCGTATTTCAGCAAGCTATCGTAAAATAGCGTTCCTACACTCCTGCATCCGAGAAAACCTGCCACTTAAATCATTGAGGAAGAAACCCATAATTGATTCCATCGAATGCCAACAAGCCATCTACCAATTTCAATGCAAGACTACGCGGGCCCTCATTAAAGACCAACATAGGCGAGTCGGAGCGTTGAAACAATGGGTCCAAGACTGCCAAAGGCAATGTGAGGCCATGTTATCGAGACATCACCTCCAAGAATTGATTCACCATATTGAGACGGTGGAGAAGAAAACGAGACAAGAAACAGCAACACGTCTCAGTCACAAGATGAACGCATTACGTAAATTAAAATATAGTAACAGCTCTATGGGTGGACTGGTCTGCAACCTCTCTTCTAAAATACTTACCCATTCACAACTCACCTTGCTGCAGCGTGATATAGGCCATAACCTGATGGACGCTAGTGCTTTAGATTTCATAGCGGCCCTAGAGCCAGCTATGCATAACATAGGGGGGGATGAAGATACTAAGAGTTCGATAAGACAACAGGTCACTGGGCTACTTACAAGCCATAGATACCATCACGTGCTATCTAGGGATGAAACCCAAGCCCTTCGGCAACTTAAAAGAGATGATAGCATTGTTATACTCCCAGCAGATAAAGGGAGGATGACCGTTGTCATGGATAAGACGCTGTATACCACCAAGGCGCTCGAACTCCTCAATGATAGAACAGCCTATAGGATAGTTGAGAAGGATCCCTCAGTTACCCTTAGGAATAAAATCAACAAACTGCTTAATAATCTTAAACGCAGTAAGAAAATCGGAGATGATACCCTAAAGAAGATACGCCCCCGTGACACGGCGCTCGCTAGATTTTATGGGCTCCCAAAAATCCACAAGGAAGGCACCCCACTTCGCCCTATCGTGTCATTTATAGGTACCCCTACATCGGGATTAGCGAAGTGGCTTAGCACTCGTCTGGGCCACCTTGTGGAAGGTAGCCCCACAACGGTCAATTCTGCAGAAGAATTCCTCAACAGAATTAAGACCCTTAGGGTGGAGGAGGATGAGAGGATGGTATCGTTCGACGTTACCTCCCTCTTCACCTCCATCCCCCAGGACTTAGCTATTTCAGCCCTGGGAGAGCGCTTGAGGAATACAGAAGGGAGCCACCACCAGGACTCCCTTCAGACAGATGACCTCCTGCGATTAGTGGAAATATGTCTCACCACCTATTTCACTTTCCAGGGTACCATCTTCGAACAAGTTAAAGGGACACCTATGGGCTCCCCCATTTCTAGCACTATAGCGGAAATAGTACTCCAACAGCTAGAACACAGGGCTATGGCCTTATACCAACCCAAATTTTGGGTTCGGTACGTGGACGACACGTTTGCGGTTGTTAAAAAACAACATGTAGCTACCTTTATGAGAGTACTTAATTCGATCTGCTCCGACATCCAGTTTACAGTGGAGGAAGAAAAGCAAGGTCACCTAGCCTTCCTGGACGTGTCAATACACCGTCAGTTGGATGGGACGTTACTTACAGGGGTGTTTCGTAAACCCACCCACACGGACAGAATACTCCACTATAGGAGCAACCACCCCGTATCTCATAAAGCTAGCTGCATTAAAGCATTGTTTAAGCGCGTGGACTCCCACTGCAGCACTGAGGAATTTAAGAAGAAAGAAAGGCAATACTTTTTCCGGATTTGTCAACGTAATGGGTATCCTTTGAGGTTTATCAGACAGTACGGTCTTACACCCCAGTCCCGGAACAACCAAAAGAGGGAGGAACCATTATCACAAAGAATGCGTGTCTCCTTGCCATATATCAATAACGTCTCGGAAGCAACAGCCAGACTGCTGGCCCCCCATGGAATAGAAGTGGCCCGCAGACCCAATCAGACATTACGGTCCAAAGTCGTTCGCCCCAAGGACCCACTCCCTGCCATGGATAGATCAGCAGTAATCTATAAAATCAATTGCAAGAACTGCGATGGCAACTATGTGGGTGAAACAGCTAAGCGTTTAAGATCTCGCTTGCATGAACATCAGTTAGCTATAAGAAGGGGCGAGCAGCATTCTCAATTGTGGATGCATATGGCACAACATGGCCACCAGTTTGACTTTGTGAATGTTTGCATTATGTCTGAGGATGCCACTAAGGGAGGCCGGCTATTGAAAGAGGCGTGGTATTCCAACAAAGATGCGGTTAATCGTCACATTGACTTACATCCAGCGCAACAAGCATTGAGGAAATGGGATTTTAAACACCATGCCAATTATTATAAGCGGCCTGAACAATGCTTGTACAGCTGTAAACGTGACGGGATACCTGGCCTCCATCCTGAACAGATAGATGGAACTTTGGCCAACCCTCTACACTCCAGGGACACCCCCGTTTCGCCCGATCAACACCAATACCGCTCTAATGAACGTCTGAGGAGGCTACCACTGTCAAACACACGTAATCATCCACCGATGGAAGACCTCCCCCTTCCCCAATATCATCATGATAGACCCCCACCCCCAGAACTTAACAACAACTGTGGAGAGTGTGGAAGATCCAGCATGAGGAGCCTGCAGCCTGATGCTGTGGGTAGGGGGGGAGAAGAAGAACGAAAGCATGGCTCGATTGCCTAGGCATACGGTGAAAGGGAGAGACACGGAATTCTGCCTGGATTCCCTGCAGACAAGGAATACCCCCACCAACAATACAGCCCCCTCCCGGGACGAACACTTTGAAGTCCCCCCAAAGACGAGCACAGAAGAGGGGAGTGAGAACGCGGGGAATCAGAATGCAGAGATCTGGAGACCTGGTGTCCGCCTGAATACCGTTCCTATCAGCAATGGGGAAGAGCATGCAATAGGGAGGAGGGATGAATTGAGAGATGGGGTAAGCACTCGATCACGCAGCAAACAAATGGAACGGTGGAGAACTGTCGACACGAAGATTGCCAGGACGGAGGAGGAGGGCATAGACCCCCAAATATGTAACATCCGTATGAAAGTTACTCATGACAGTGGAAGAGTGAGAAGAAAGGGTGTGGAGCAGGGATTGGGAAAAGCGTGTGTGTGGGGGAGCGTCTGTGAGCCCAGGGAAGCTCGTAACACTGATAGAGGAGAAACAGATGCCCCCAGGGTGGAGAATGAAAACAAAAAGGGGAGGAGGGTCAGTGCTATGGAAGGAAATAAGGATAAAGGGGTGGTGGAGGAGATGAATACCAGTAATGAGATAGTGGAAGGAATGATCTGGAAGAACCATAGAAGGAAGCGTAAGGAGAGTAATAAAGAAACATCTGGAACACTAATTAACCGGCCGGGACCGGTGACGCGGTCCATGAGCCGGGTGCAGATGCCGGCAAAACCCAATTAAGTCATCATTGTTTACTGGCTCCTTAGCCCTGATGATGTTTGGAGTTTCCAAACGAAAGCTTGGCAGCTTTTAGTAAAGTATATTTTTATATTTATACTCTCCTGGTGTTCGTATTTTATTTGTACCATAGACATGCCCAGGAGTCGTATTTTTATGCAAATTTTCCAATATATATATATATGCATATATATATTGCAATATATATATATATATATATATATATATATATATATATATATATATATATATATATATATATACACATACACACACCATATATGATGTGATTATGCAAATGCCTTGACTTAGTTATTTTAATCAAATATTCTACTGCAAGTACATAATTGTGGCATTTGCATAATTACCTCATTGCTTGCTTGTAATTTTTTAGATAATGTGTTTAGCAGAAAAACCAGTTAAAAGATAGGTTCCTGAGAAACAGCCTGTACTGATACATGCAGAGATAATTAAGTCATATTATTTTCCTGATATGTAAGTGATTTTTAAAAATGTTTTTATTCCACCTTTATTATTTTTTATAAATAAGTCATGATGGCAAACATACTTAATACTCCTTCCACTCTACATATATGTATCTGAAAGAGAAGGCAAGAAGAAAAAAATTCTTAGTTGCCTATCTTTTGAACTTGTTATTTTTGCCAAAGGAAATGTTAGAAGATATTGACCGAAAGGTACTGAAGCTTCCGCACCTTTTTCTAATTTTGAATCTTTCAACATCCTGTAAATATTGTAGTAAGCATGCATTTAAATTTACAGAAAGATGTTGTATTTAACTTTGTTCCATGTAGAGGTTATCTCAGCTACTGTTCACTTAGAGAGTCATTGAAATATAGAATTAAATCAGGGTGTATTAATGTAGCCTTTTTAAAAATCAGTAATATTGCTACCAGTGGATTATACTACTTGCTCATCCAAAAAAGGCCAGTATTATATATAAGTATGTTTTCTGTTTGTGTTGATAATGTTCTAACTTGACTAGCTGTGAAATAACCAAAGAAATTTTTTTTTCATTCTGTTTTTTGAAGGATCGTGTAACATTCAGAAGAATTATATTGAAAAATAATGCAAAGAAAAGGAAAACGTATGAATTATTTGTTGAGTCAGTGCCTCTTCTTAAGTCACTGGAGGTAAAGTACTTTGTGGGAAATGAACCAGAAAGCATGTCTAATTAGATTTTCCTCAGCATTGTAAACGTTTAAGAGGAGGTTAGGGGTTAAGGAAAGCATCTATGACAGCAATTACTTTATATTATTGATAGGTTTTTCAGTAAGCTCTTCAGACAGATTTGGCTGGTTCTCTATGTATATCATTCTCTGCCAAGGAATTTATGACTGAGTCTTGCTATATGACAGTTGGCCTTTATAATCTAATGTGGGAACCTACACAGTGGTGGCCTATATGGAACATATAGCAATACCATGTTGTCAGATAGTCAGGAAAATTATCATAAGTCTACCTGCTGGGCTGTGATCATCCTTCTGCTAATTAATTTAGTAACGAAAGCAAAGAAATGCATTAGTTTCTAGACCTAATGATGGTAGAACTGCCACTGCTGTTCCTCTTCAGTAGAGATACACACACACACACACACACACACACACACACACACACACACCTATACCTGGAAAGGACCAGAGTGATAATGTGTCCATTTTCTTGGGTTGAGATGTATGCAATGTGAGGGAGACACAGGGATAGGCATGGATGGAAAAAAAACAGGTATATGACATCCACAGAATGTAGATGTTCAGGGTAAAATTATGCATGATTTATTGGACTACTTGATATCGTATATAAAAGTATGAAATGTGTATTGATGGAAACACTGTTACCTCCATTGCTTTGTGGAAATGGATTATGCTAAAGAAAGGAACAGGGCATATTAAATTCTTTTTTTGTTGTTGCAGCCATCTGAGCGAATGAAGATTGTTGATGTAATAGGAGAAAGGACATATAAAGATGGAGAACGCATCATTGCTCAGGTATATGAGTGCAATTTTCTTACTTTGGTAAATATTGTGTTTCCCTGTAAATAAGACTTGTCCTGAAAATAAGCCCTACCTTGATTTTTACGCATGCACCTAATATAAGCCCTACCCGCAAAATAAGCCCTAGTTAGGACCCCGCCCACTCTGTTCCACTGTCTGATTGCTCATGGCTGCAGTGGGGCAGGAGAGCACGCCACGCTCTGGTGCTGCCACCACAAGGTGAGGCGAGGCAGATGGAGGTGGGGCTGCCCCACAAGCCTTGCACCCATGCACCTTAGGGTCCCCGTAGCCAGGCCACTCACCTTGTAGTGGGACAGAGTGGGTGGCTGGCTGTGTGGGCTCCTGCCTCCCCTCACCTCACGGCAGTGGCGTCGGCTTCCCTCTGCACTGCTTTGAAATTCCCTCCCAGCTGCCCCAAGCAGACCCATCACCAGGAGTGGCCTGGAGAAGAAAGGTCTCCTTGAACACCCCCAGCTCCCCAACATGGCACCCTGGTTCCTGCAACCTGCACCTCCCGCATCCCTGGGCCAGGCGGGTGCTCATTTTCCTGTTAAGTCCCTGAGGGTCTCCTCTGCGCCCCTTCCCTATGGTGTTAGTAGCAGCAGCAACAACATCCCCTTTCCTCTATCCCCCCCCCTTCACAGACTGTCCCCCCAAGCACCGCCTGTTCCTAGTCTAGGCACCAAGCAGGGTCCTACCCAGGAGGTGAGCCAATGAGCCCCAGCCTTCTCACAACCGCCCCAGCACGTTGGCTGGCTGGGCAGTGGGCAAAGGTGGACTTTGGGAGGCAGCGATGGAGCACGGCCCAGCAGCAGCAACAGCAGAATCCCTCTGGGACAGCCCCGCCAGAACCAGCTATTTAACCCTAAGTGCCCAGACCGGAGCCTTAGGCTGGTAAGGAGGCGGATGCTCTAAATGGGGATGGCGGCCTCAATGGGGCAGGCCAGGCAATGAGCAGAGCACTTTGCCGCCACCGCTGCTTTCTCCTTGGAGCCGCAAGTGCAAGGCAGCTCCGAGGCAGCAACCATCTCCTGTAAGCCCACCGAGGTTCCGGTCTGGGTGCTTAAGGTTAAATAGCACACAGCTGGCCCAGTGGAGGGGATTCTGCTGTTGCTTGTGGCAGTGGCACCAGCGCACCTCACGACCTGCCCCCTTGCGACCACAAGCAACCAGATGGTGGGAGGGAGTGGACGGGTGGTCGCAAAATAAAACATTCCCTGAAAATAAGTCCTAATGGGTCTTTTGGTCCAAAAAAGAAATATATAAGACCGGGTCTTATTTTCGGGGAAACATGGTATATTGGATTTGGGGGATAGTTAAGAATTTAGTCATATACAGAATTAGAAAAGACTTCTAAAAATGGATTGCAGTGAATACCATGCATGTGTTTTGTAAAACGTAAAAAACTGTTAAAAAAAAAATCTTAATTGATTTTGTGCCGTTGTACAGATTTGCTAACTTACATTCTGTATTATTTGGATTCTAAAATACAGAATAATTACTTTTCAAAATCAAAAGCATTGCTCAAACAGTATTTGGAAAGAATATGTTAATTTTCTGAAGCAGCAGTAACCTTTATATTAGGATCTCCTTTCTCATTGAAATATTCCAATATCGCCCCATTTTTCCTTTATATTTTCACATCTTAGATTAGGTGGTATAGATTCTTTTCTCTGTGCCGCTGTGTGCTTTTCTGAGCCTCAATCTCAGAAATTACATTACTTTGTTTGAAACTGATTTTGATCAACACTTCAGAATATCCAAAGACATCTGTAATCTTGTTATCACAGGGTGATAAGGCGGAGAGTTTTTTCATTGTAGAATCTGGTGAAGTAAAGATCATGATTAAAACCAAGGTGAGTTCAGTTATTTCTGGTATGATGGTTAAAATTTAGAGTAATTTAATATTTTTAAATATGTCCCATTGAGTTGACAAAGTTCAGGAATCTTTCCTGAAAATAGTCCTTACTGTGTCACATTCCACTTATCTTGGAAGAAAGATGGAGGATGCCTAATGAAGAAACTATGTATCGATCACCAATTATGGAAGCCTAAGATAGGATTTGAGAACAGAGTTGCAGTGGGATGGGAAATTCATCCTATTAAGTGGAAAAATCAAGCTTATTATGTAAAGCCCCTTGGTGAAGTTTTAAATGCACTGTTAACATAGCCTGGAGAAGAGTGTGTGTTAATTTAGTAATGAGTTTTATCCTGCATATGTTGTTCTTTAATTTATGGTAAATCCATTTATACTTTATACAATCTGGTTTCCTTGAACTATTTTGGTACTGTAATTCCTAGACTTTTCTAGCTAGTTATAGTGAGTGACTACATTTATTGTGAATTTTTGGGTAGCATTCCTAACACATCTAATGAGTACTAAGTTTAGAAAGGTCACTTATATTTTTCACTAATAGAATTGCCTTTCCAGATGAATTTTTACTGGTAAATGTTTGGCTTAAGAAGTCCTTAATATATGTATGCACTATTAGGGCTAATTTCTTGGCTTGACAAAAGAAACATCCTATGAACAGGTTACATGTCAAGAAATCAGGACTAGATCATATTAATTTGCTAATTTGGGCACACATTCCTGGATAACTTTATTTGCAGAGAGTGTTTCACAATAAAGGGACCCCGAAGAAGTTAATTCGTCCAAGCTTTAATGCATGGGTCTTCAAACTTGGCCCTTTTATGACTTCAGAATTCCTCAGCCAGCGTTGTTATAAAAGGGCCAGGTTTGAAGACCGCTGCTTTAATGTGACATCTGACAGATATGGAACTGAGAACAGGACAATCTCAAGATTTTGGGGAAGGTGAAATATTTTTGATAACGTTTGTCAGCAAATAACCATGTCTGTGTTTTGAATTTCTGTTGTAGACTGTAACAGTAAAAGATGCAAACCAAGAGGTAGAGATTGCTCGATGTCAAAAAGGACAGTATTTTGGAGAGCTTGCACTTGTTACTAACAAACCAAGAGCAGCCTCTGCCTATGCTGTTGGGGAAGTCAAATGTTTAGGTAAGAACTCTGTTTCCCTTTGTGATAATTACTATTAGAGTTGGATTCGGTTGGTTCTGTCATCCATACTGTTCTGTTTGGATCCACCATTTGTTTAAAATGGCTTCTTCACTTGTAATACAAATCAGTCGCAGTTCCAGGAATCCTTTGAATATATACTGTATATGGTGCTTGATTGGTAGAAAATTGGCATGAAGTTTCAAGAGATCTTTTTTCCCACTATTAGTACCTCATATTTCAGAGCATGTTAGCATTTTATGGATCTCTTGATTAATAAGATACTGTATGGAGTTTCCATTATTACTCAAGTTTCTAGGAATGTTAAAAGGAAGTGAGAAGTTGCAACTACTCCCTTACTGAGCTAAATTTAAAGTAATTAAATAGCCCCAAACTACAGATTTTATAAGTTTGGACTTTGCAGATCTTGTAATAACTATCTACTTCAAAGATAGTGAAGGGAAGCATTTAATATAATATTTCCAAGATTCTTTTGTCAATCCTTGGGAATTCTTACTTCTGGGACTATTTTGTGATCGATCGCTCTAATTTAAAGGTAATAACTGAATTACTGAGTCTGTAATCATGGCAAAATCAGGTGTTTAAAAATTCCCTTTGGTCACATTAAGGCATATGCAAACACAAAAAAGGCAGTTTTTATTCTTGTCCCATCACTTGTAATTCCATTTAATTAAATATCCCCTAAATTTGCATGATTCCCATCCTCTGAGCTTCCAAAAATCCTTAAAAATCTGGCTGTTCTCCTAGGCCTTGAGTTGCTGCGCCCCTATAGGTAGGGTTTTTTTCTGCTTTGTCTGGTCTTGCTCTGTTTTGAATGTCTACAGTTGGTTTTCAGCTTTTTTTTCTTGCTTTTCAATTGTCAGTTGCTCAGAGTTGATTGGAGTTAGGGATATTTAAATAAAATCATTTATTCTCCAACGATTTTTTTCCTGTTTTCCTGGGTAATTTATTTCATTGCTTTTTTTTTTTTTAAGAAGAGCTGGGTTGGCAGCCTCTTTGAAACTAATGTAAAAATTTCTGTTCGCATTTCTCTGTATTTCTGTGCAGTTATGGATGTGCAAGCATTTGAGCGGTTACTCGGGCCCTGCATGGACATTATGAAGAGGAATATAACTCATTATGAAGAGCAGCTGGTGGCATTGTTTGGTTCAAGCATGGACCTGATCAATCCAGGCAATTAGGAGGAGAGTGCATCAATGTCTTCTCAGTTCAAGACGTAGAAAAGTCTCCTATTAGTAACAGCGCAGCACCACACAAATGAAAAAAGGACACTACGGGACAGTGGCTGTTGGTGTCTTCTTGGGCATTTTTTTTAGAAACCTACGCAGGTCTCAGCATAGCTGGAGGGTTCAGGGCTCACTCCAGGCCTCCGCTTTGCTGCTGAAATTTTGTTATTAGACCTAGCCTACTGCTGAGTCTCTTAATCCTCTTTTCACATTGCTTGGTTCAGAATGGCATGTTTCTCCCAACAATTCAAGTGCCTGATACTAAAGAAATGGAGCGGTCTATTTGTTGTTCTTGTTTAAAAAAAAAAAAAGGAAGAACAAACTTTGAAATCAGAGATCTGGATGTTGGGGGCTGTTCCTACACTTGGAAATAGCTACCTTCTTAACATTACCTTCTTGTTGACAGCTTTTTTTTTCCCTCACACGATCAGAATCTGATTTTAATAATGATACATTTGGATTTGAATGTCAAAAAGGAGGGGACATTTGTAGAAACAGTAGGTTAACCAATTCTGGGTTTTTCTTGTTCTTTTCTGGAAATGGGAGTGTGGTTGTTTAAAGCTGAAGGATTCTAAAGGAACCTAGCTGATAAATAACGGGCAGTGAAGTAAAATGCTGAATTAAGCAGAGTTTTAAGGCTCCAGTGAATCTGAATCATAAGCCATGAGATTCAGGGGCCGCAAAGGTTGCGCAGAAGATTTGCTGCTGTTTTCTAAATTGGACTGATTTGTGGCCTGCTGAGAAACAGCAGAAATTTCTTTTAAATTTCTATTTATGGAAATTCTTGGTACTTCTAGATTTTACATGGCATTGCCATTGGCAAAATCTGTTTTAATGCTTTTTTAAAAAAGAAAAAAGGGTTGTTTTTTTTGTAACTTAAGGAATATTTATATACTAATGGGGTCCATTATACTGTAATATTTTACAATATTGTGTAACAATTGGGTATAGACTTTCCAACTACAATACCTATTTGCTAAGTCCTTTTTGAAAATTAACAGCATTTTACTTCAAAAATGATTTTTTAAAAGCTACAATAGAAAATAACCTCATTTCTGGGCAATTAACATTGTATTGGCGGCACTTTTTTGAATGCAGATTCATTTAGCTGCATATCTCTAAAATCTTGTTTGAATCAGCATATACCTGTCAGTTTATATATAACTACTGAAGAGAAGTAACATCTTAAGTTTTACCCAAGTATTAACTGTGTAAGAAATTATCATAAAAATAAGCTAAATGTAGCATCAGAAATTATTAGGGAAGAAGGTATTGATCCTGTATGAAATTACAATTCCATTGTCAGTGTTTCTCAACTTATATGTGTTTTAGGAATAAATTTACATTAATTGTGGGTTTTCAGCTTATAGAACAAATCAAAATTTAGTCATTGTGCCATCAAAATTTGATACATAATTCAGCCATTCTGAATCCCCATTGGCAATACTATAAATCTAATTCATAGGTTGCCTTTTAATCTGGAGCTTGTTTGCCCCCTTTTTACAATTTCTAGTCTGTGTTATTAATTTAAGACTTAAATGTTTTATATGTTGTTGAATCAGGAAATAGCACTTGAAAGTATTTTTTTTTTCTTTTTATAATCATTGCCATTGAAAAAGGTACCGAAGCTCTGGCCATCATATTTTATGTTTCTGGTTTTGTTTTGTTTTTCCAATATATCAATTTAAACTTAGCTACAATTTGAACATCTGAGGAAAAAATGCTTTATTTATGTAAAGATTTTACACCAAAGATTTTTAAATGCATGTTTCTCAATTTGGGCAAATTATTACTTGGTTCTGAATCTCATAAAAGGGATTGGTGAAAAAAGGTAAGTAGTACAGCCTTTATTCTTATATAAGTAGCAAGTCATTTTTTAAAATTTTCTCTTCAGGCTTGGCCAAGGTACAGCTGAACTCAACAAGTGTGTTCTAGAACCACCATTTTGGCTACAAAATTATTCCTTTCCATTTCTTACTCGAGTTCTTTTGTGTCTTTCGCCATGTGATGTAATTTAATAGGTTATACAATTGGGGTATCTCTCCCACCTAGTTAATCTTCAGCAACCACTTGCTGGGGTTGGGGTATTTTGAAGATTCTACATTGGTAAGAAATGATCCAGGAAAGGTGAACTGAGGATATATTCAAAGCCATTTTCAAAACGAAATCAGTAGGATGAATTAATATTAATTATACATGTTCTGCTTTAAACAAAAACCCTATATTATTTTGAAGGCAAACAATTTGAAGGGCTGATTTGCAGAATCCCAAACTGGGTTTATCTTTTTAATTGGTGCAAAATCTTTTTATCTATATATGTGTGTTTGTAGCTGAACAACTGGTTATATGAATCACTTCCTTATGATAGTAGGTTACTGACATTACTGTGAGTGTGAGAATTCTACCTTTAGGTCCAGTTAGAATAGATACTTTTGGCATTGGCTGATTTTAATACAAGTTCAAACTCTTGGTCACATAGATTGATTATCGCATTAAAGAAATTATTTTTTAAAAGAGCCATTGGCCTCTGTCAGAGTAGAAATTTATTTATAATGTCTAACTTAAAATGACTCGTGCAGTATTTGGAATGAAAGCTAGAGCAATCATGTAAACATCTGTTTCTTCCTTTGTGGATTTCCCTTTCATTTTGCAAATCCAGCTGGATGTCAGCAAGATCGGTTATGAATAATTCATCTCCATCCTTGTATCCCTCCTTTAACTTGGCTTCATTAACTTCTCATGTTGCACATCATTTCAAAATGATGTGTAACCTTCTTTCCTAAGGGCAAATCTACTCTTCATTCACATAAGGTAATTGGTGATGTCTAGCTTTAATAAGAGAACTCAGCAGCAAAGTGGCTAACCAGAGTGGTGTCTTCTGAGAGTGTCTTTTTTAACTTACATTTCTTTTTTGAGGTTTCTAGGAGGAGCTTATACTGTCCCTATTCTTGAGATATGTCTGTTGATGTCACAGCACAAATTTTCACGATGTATTAAAATGAAATCTAAAACAAATAGACAAGAAAGCGCAGCTTTGAGGAGGGAGGAAACTTGACGTCCATTTTGTCATCTTTTTTTTTTCTTGAAATGTCTTTGTAAAATTAGTTTGACAAAAAATACAAGTTTTCTGGTCTTTTCCACTCCAGTTATTTTTGTTGTTGTTGTGAATAGTGTGTGTGTGTGTGTGTGTGTGTGTGTGTGTAAGGCGAATGTTTCTGTTTATTCTAAGCACATATTTCCTTTGAGGAGGCCTTTTATGTGGGTTCTCCTTAAGCAGGTCGTAGGGCTGTGCTGGACTTTGATCTTCTGGGGGGGGGGGAAACAGTCCCTAATCTGGCAGGAGCGTGACACATCTTTTCTGAACCGAGCTAAAGCTTAAAACCATGTGGATTGCTGTGGATGTTTTCCAGCTTGGTCCAAAAGGTAATTTTAATTTTGCATAAAGATGCTACCTCAAGGCTCTTAAGAGCTTTAAATGTGTCTTGCCTGTGAGAAGGACACACATTGATTCTGATAAGCTGTTCTGTTGCATTAGGTAGGAGGCATATTTTTTGTCTTTTGGGGGGGGGTGTATTTTAAATTATTTTTACCTCTGCCACATGATTGTTTTCAAAGTGTGAGCAGTTTTGCAGAGAGATCTGTTCTTGCACTGTAGTGTTGCCCAAGATGGGAAGAAAGTATCTTCCACCTAAGACACTGGTCTCATTCTGATCTGAAGTTTGATTTTACTTTCAACTAATAAAAGCTGACATGCTATATCCATCCTTTCTGACTGCAGTTTTGCATGTGTGAGTGTGCTTTCTTTAATCCAACCAATGCAGTCCTTTTACCGTTTTTTTCAAAAGAGCAGTTATTCTGGTTTTGTTAAAAGCAGCAAATACTGAAAAGATAATGCATAGTGCAAGAACTAGGAATAATTCTTTTTCTTAAGAACAGTGTTATTCTGAGATGGAAAAAAATGCTGATTTAAATGCTTTTATCATAGACACTTTTATCAACTAAGAAGCTTGCCATCTACAGGAACTCTCTGCTTTAACCTTCCTAGAGATGGCCACTTTTCCTGGAACAGCCTATCCAGAACTTTTTTTCTCATAGAACGCTCAGAACGGAGTTCTGGCACCTTTTTGGGATGGAACCTTGTAGGGTAGGCAAAGCGGGTTGTATGACATGTGAGTTCTGGCACCTTTTGATTTATTTTTTTAAAACGCTGAACCTATCCCTAAATAGACATACTGCATTTTCAAAAACACCACACGCAAGCAAGACTCTTCAAGAAGGCATTAGGAGCTGCTTGAAGATCTTGCTGCCTGTGGTGTAGGGTTTCCTGCCCGAGCAGGGGGTTGGACTAGATGACCTCCAAGGTCCCTTCCAACTTTACTACTATTACTATTACATCAGTACCTTCTTCTTGTTACATTATTTCATGTTACTCAAGTGACATGTAAAGTGAAATAATAAGCATGACCAAGTCAAGCAGCAGTGGTTCTGCCAGTACCTGGTCAGCTTGGGCTCTTCACTTTTGCATTGCCGTGATATCACAGGAAGCAGGAAATAAAATTTCAGTGAACTGGGAGAAAAAGATAAAAAGGTGAGATTTGTTAATTTAACTTAATCCAAAATAGCTAATTTGGTGTGTTAGTTAAGCCACAAGGTTAGAAACTGGGACACTGTGAGTTCTAGTCTCACTTTAGGAATGGAGCCAGCTGGGTAACCTTCAGCTATTGAGTCCTTTTCAGCCTTAGGAAGAGGCAAACTACTGAAAATTTTGCAAAGAAAAATTGGGGGGCTAATCCAGAGAGTAACTTGAGGGTACCAAACATCCCACCATCTCCAAGAGAAGTGAAGTAGATGCAATTAACAGTGGACACACCACTGAGGATCACTGATTTTCAAACCTTAGTCTTCAATCACATGACATTCTTTCTCACCATGCTAGTGAAGTGGGTCTTTAACGTGCATATTTGTACAAAATGTTGCCACAAAGTCCTCGGTTATATTGCAGGCTCAGCATGCCTTCCAGAGAGGAATTTTTAAAACTATTATTAATCCTATATAAAATTGGAAAGATACAATGGAAATAATTAAATCCAGTACCCTGCTGGGATAGATTGATAATGCAGAGATGTAGCCCTTTGCTCCCTACTAATCTAAAATTTCCTTTTGTCAGAGCAGGCTAAGGGCTTTTGTTGTTGCCGATTCATAAAGTCTGCCAAGCAGTCTTGTTCCATTTCTGTCATCCTTGGAATCTTTTTGATATCGGGGCCCCCTACAATAAGTTGATTTCAGAGGAAATAGGTGAAGTGCCTGTCAGCTGATTTATTTTCCTGTTTGGAGCTCTGCCTCTGATATTGGAGAAAATTGAGGAATTTGTGGTTCTGGGTGACTGTGCCAGGAACCATACAATTTCACAATGCAGAAAACTGAAAAAGTATTTGGAAGCAGTCTTTGCTCAGAGGAAAGACAATTAGAGTGAAGAGGAGGTAAATAAACATAGCTACATGGAGTAACACCAATGCTACACACAGAGAAGTGCAAGTTCCATTAGAAAGCTGGATCAATTCTTGATTGGTCTTTATGGAATGGTGGCGCAAAGCTTTGTTCTCTCTAGGTCCTCACCACCTGTGCTGCCTACTAAGTATCTTGAGTTGCAGCTCCCATTGGACCAGCCAGAGAAGTCAACATGGGGCTAGTGGTGGGGCAGACCTTGCCTGTCTCCAGCCATCTGGCACTTCCTGAGCCTCAGGCCACCTTCTTCTGCTTGGCTGAGTCACAGACTAAGTTGTAGAATTCCAAGAGGAGCCTTGCAGAGATCCTGGGTCTCTCCAGGGTTATGAAGTGTCCACATTTCTCCAGCCGATGCACTTGGGAATTAGGAATGGCATCCGCCAAAATTTCTGCACCCGAAGAATCAAAAACCTACACAAAAGGAAACAAGGAATTTCTTCCCGTCACAACTGAAATATTTATGTTGAAAAAAAAAAACATCCTGACTTGGGCGTGCCATCTTACATTTACTCTTGGAACAACATTCAGTATACAAGCCTTTAATAGTAACTGATGTTTTACATGGCATCTCTGCCATTCTCAGATATTCAGGTTGGCGTGGATTGTATAGCCAGGTTACATGTGAGTTCTATTAAGATATAAAGAAGGGTCTTTGGTGCTTTCTGAGCTTGGTGGTTTTCTTGCAGACTATTTCATTATCTAAACATCAGTGCTAGCACTATCACTGTTTTTATTTACTGTTAATAGTTCAACCTCTTGACCACTAAGATCCATCAGGATGTTCTCTGTCATTATTTCTATGATTTCATTTCCTTTGTTTGGATATGCTTTATTGATTTTATTGGATTTACTTTTATGATAATGAAATTGATTGATTGATTGATCCATCCATTCAGTTTCTATGCCACACAACTCAACCGACTTTGGGCGGCTTATAAGTTTATGAAAACTTTTATTAAAAAGTGTAAGTGAGGATATAGCAAAGTGGAAGGAAAAATGTCTGTGTCACATTTCTCCCAATTCTGAATTTAAAATAAAGTAGCACTGCCTTTCATCCTGCCTGCAAGTGCTGCTTAACACTTCAGCATAAACCTTTGCTCTGCACGCTGGGCAAAGTCCCCAGGCTGGTAAACATGGCATAACCTTCTTCCTCTAGAAATGTAGGCAAAAAATTCAAGCTGTTCCTTGAACTGCAGAATGTCGCCTTAAGAATAAGAACTGACACTTATTTTCAAGTGAAGTGTTTCCATCAGGAACAACGAAACTCAGCAAATGAAAAACCACAGCAGTACAATTTCCATTGCAGGGATGGTTCTCCTGTCTGATTCTAAAATTACACACACTGTGCCAAAAAACCCCAGATACACATAAATCCCTTACCTTGTCCTCCTTTCCCCAAATGATCTGGGTGGGAGCTTTGATTTTCCTCATGTTCTCATGGAGGCTGTACTTCGATTCAGTGCTGGTGAGGTCCAGAAAACCTTTTTCAATAAAAGGAAGCAGAATTGGTTTGGTTTTTTCCCCTCATTTTTAATGAGCATTGACACCTGTCATGAACTTCCCTTTTTCTGATCTTCAGTTTTTTTATTCTTATATTTAGTGTATGGTGATGTTACATTAGCCAGGAGACTAGAAAGCTAATGCAGAGTAATACAGATAGTCCTCAATGTACAAGTACAATTGATCCTAAAATTTCTCACTTTTGTTAAGTGAATTTTGCCCCATTTTACAACTTTTCTTGCCATAGTTGTTAAGTGAGTCGCTGAGGTCTTAAGTTAGTAACATGGTTGTTAAGTGAAATTGGCTTCCCCTTTGACCTTGCTTGCCAGAAGGCCTCAAAAGATGATCACATGACCTGAGGGCACTGCAACCGTCACAAATATGAGTAATTGCCAAGCATCTGAGTCTTGATCACATGATCACGGGAATGCTACCATGTTTGTAAGCGTGAAAAACGGTCACATAATTTTTTTCAGGGCCATTGTAACTTTGAATGGTCATTAAATGAACTGTTGTAAGTCAAGGACTATCTGTAGTTTGGCTGCCTGCTTACTATCGTAGCTCTGTTTGGTACATGCTTGTTCACTTCCAAAGGTGCACCACAGGAGGGCGAGCTAGCTCTGCACCAGAAAGAAAGACAACGGCTTTCCTGCAACAGCATCTGAGGCACTTTCCCTCCACCGAAGCTGCCTCACAATGGGCATCGCAACTGGGATAGTTCAGTGCTGACAGGATTCTAATTGTCCACATAAAGCAGCGGCTCATCTCGAAATAGTATCTATTTACCTACTTGCATAGAACATGGTTCTGAACTGCTAGGCGGGCAGAAGCTGAGATGAGTGACAGAAGCTCACCCCACTACACAGTGCTAGGACTCAAACCGCTAGATCAAAGATTATCTCCAGCATCATTAATGAGGAGATCTGATTAAGGAACCCTTTAACCCTTTTCTCCCTTACTTGCCTGATGCCAGTCCTGCAGCTTCTCTAATTTGTATCACTCTATGTAGCTGGACAGGGACCTCTGGATTCTCCACCCAATGGGGGTTGAGTTGACTGGGAATTATGGGGTTTATATTCCTAACACCCTTGGAGGACTTGTAAAATAGGAAAGGCTGTCTCCTTGTGATTATGATCCTGAAATGTGTGGCCAGGGGCACTGGCTCAGAATATTAGTGTCTCTTCCATTGTAAGCTGCCCTCTTTTCCTGCCTCATTATTGTAAATAAATGTATAGTAAAATAGACCAACATTTTGCTGATATATCGGTCCTTTTCAGGATTATTTTCTCATTTTAAAAAACAGAAATGGCCATATCTGAAACAAACACAGTGAAAATCCACTGATTGAAGCTATTTTGGCTGTAGCTCCCTGGACGGATTCCCTTGATATTAAATGTATGTTTGCCCCTCTAAAACGGGTCCCCAACCCTGGGGCTGTGGCCCACTACTGGGTCATGAGCTGTTCAAATCGGACCACGGAAGCAGCGGGTGAGCGCACCACATGAGCGCACATCCCCACTTGTGCAAGCAGCGGGTAGGTACATGCACACGAGCTCCACTTGTGCGAGTAGCGAGTGCATGTTCCCACAGCTCCCCCCCAATAAAGCCGCACAGGCATGCTTGCCAGCCATTCATGTGGAACCATCCCCCATCTGCCCGCCCCCCCCCGGCCGGTCTGCAAAGCCAGAAAGTTTGGGGAACTCTGCTCTAAAATATGGATAAGTAGCCCATCCGGGTCCATGCTGTGTCTTGTACATACACAATGCAAAAAACATCTTATGTGGTCTCCGATCCTCAAGGTATGCCTTTAGGAGCTAAAGTTGAAAGGAGAAAAGTATAAATTAAAAGTATAAATATAAGTTGTAGGTGTGAAAAATATAAGTCATTTTTTTCAATGCCATTGCAACTTTAAGTGATCAATAAGCGAATGGTTGTAACTCATTACAGGGCTACCTGTATTGCTGGGGCTGTTCTGTCCTATGTTTTTCTATTATTTGCAAGTACTTTCCCCACTGCAAAATCCCCATGAAATGAGTATGGTACAGTATCTTCCCTGGAGATTGAATTGAAATGTGAAGTGTTAAGGATCTAGAGCAGGGGTGTCAAACTGCCAGCCCGCGGGCTGGATGCATCATAATGAAACCGCGCCCACCTCATTGCCGGCAATGGCAAAAAAGTCGCGATATGTTGCGACACATCACATGACGTTCTGAGATTGACACCCCTGATCTAGAGTAATGTTTGTCAAACATGGCAAACTGAAGGTGAGTGGACTTCACCTCCCAGAATTCTCAGCAATGTCTATGCTGACTCTGAAGTTCTGGGAGTTGGAGTCCACATATCTGGAAATTGTCAAGGTTGACAAACCCTGATCTAGGAGCCTACTTCCAACTATATTGATGCCAAAGAGGTGAAAGGTGTGTGCAACATCACAATGCAAGCACGCTTTCATCCTTGGCTTGTGACATCACATGCAAGTACATAAGGAGTAGAATTTTCATCACAACATCACAATTCATGTTCTCACTTGCCCTCCCTCTGTAGATGCTTTTGACCAGGGTCATTGGTCATTCACACTCATATCCTTAGTCTGCTCAGAACAAAACAAGCCAAGAAAAATTATTTAACTGTATCTGTGAATGTAGCTCCCTTCACTGGAATTCTCATCTTTTGAAAGAAAATTTGAAAGCAAATTCTCTATCAAACTGAATGAGAACTGGTAGAAAAAATATTTTATGATTCCTTTTGTAAGGCAAAAAAATAGATGATAGATAGATAGATAGATAGATAGATAGATAGATAGATAGATAGATAGATAATAGACAATTGATAAAGATAAGTAGATGATAGTAGATACACAGAGATAGATAGATAGATAGATAGATAGATAGATAGATAGATAGATAGATAGATAGATAGATAGATAGATAATAGACGAATTGATAAAGAGGTAGGCGATGATAGAGAGAGAGATTTATTGTTTTTATTACAGCCACAGACCAGAGTTCAAAATAAAACATGCTAAAATGTGAGTAAAGAAACAAAATAGGATAAGAAGGTTACAATTGGTGGCAGTTTCATCTGTGGATATGGTAGTCAAGAGTGTGTCTAATTTTACAGGCAATATAGCAGAATTTGGCTACGTTCAAATTTGAGAACATTAAACATACATAAAAGTGATCAGAATTTCCTGGGTGTTTTACCAGATTAGGAATTATTAAAGTGGGTCCCAGGATCCTCACAGAGGATGCAGCATAACAAAGACATGAGCTGCAATTTCAATTCAGGGGCTGCAAGGGCAGAATTTAACCTAATGGGGAATTTTTTTTTTTTTTGTACCCAAAACTGCTGCAGGGAGAGTGCTGAAGTGTGCTAAAATTAGTGCCCTTTGAATTTGGAGATGGTTATGTGATGTAGATATTTTTCTGGTTTGAAAAAGAATGCTTGATTATGTATTTCATGAAAACTCCCAACAATAATCTGTATATATTAGTCAAAGACAGTTTGGGCAATAGAGTTAAGCCTGTTCATGATAACTAGCCAAAAATGGGCAAAAAGTGGGATCCAGTCGATGATGAAGATGAAAAAGGGGGAAAGGGCCTAGAAAAAAATAACGGTTATTTTTTATGATGCATCCACTGTCATTTTAAATCAATCAGGGCCCTGAAAAAATATTTTTTTAATTTAAAAAAATTAAAAATTTAATTTTGTGCCACCTCACAGAATGATGTCATGAAGAGCTTGGCCCTGAGAAAAATTGGAAACAGCAAATATGAGCTGGAAAGCTTTGTCCTCTAGGATTCTCTACATTATTTGGTGAATTGCTGCCAACTTGAGTAGACAGTATTGATCCAGATGAGCATCTAGCAGCAAAAGAGAAATGGGGCAATTGCCTCCATTCTCCTGAAGGACTGTTTCCTTAAGGCTTCTCAGCACTGTATTGTTTTTATCCCTGTGTTGTGGGAACTATTAATTCTAATATCTGATATCAATATCAGATAATATATGATTCTGATATCAATGTGCTTTTGCCCAGTTAATGTCTGCCCTCAGCCTCAGGAGCTCTCTGGAGGATTTTAAACCATCACTCCTTCAATCTAGTTCACAAGATTATTGCTGTGGTGTAAATGGGAGGCAAGGGTTTTATATAGGCACTTTGAGTTTCTGGAGGAAAGGCAGGATATAAATCTAACTAGGAAACAACCTATAAACAATAATGAATAAGGCCAGAATGTATTTTATTTTTGTGTTTGTCTGTCCATCCCGTTCTCTTTCTTGTATCTCTTAAATTATCAACCTACAGGCAGGTTATGTCCCAGTATCTCTGGGATACCTTTCCTTTAAAAAGAGCAGAGTAAATAGGGAAGGAGGGAGGGAGGGAGAGAGGGAGGAAGGAAGGAAGTAAAGGAGGAAGGGAGGAAAGAATGAAGGGAGGAAGGAAGGAAAGAAGGGGGAGGAAAGAAAGAAGGAAGGAAAGAAGGGAGGGAGGGAGGGAGGGACGGGGAAGGGAGGGAGGGAGGAAGGAAGGAAGGAAGGAAGGAAGGAAGGAAGGAAGGAAGGAAGGAAGGAAGGAAGGAAGGAAGCCATGCATCTTTTTTTTTATTCTGATATTTGGGAAATATTTATGCTGATCTCCCTTCCATCTTAAATTTCAGTCTTGTGCACTTCCTGACCATCTTGTAAAAGAACTTGCGGAGAAATGGAAGATGTTATTACAAAGGACTGAGAGAGCAGCAATCTAGAAAAATGTCAGATGTTCACCTGCATCTTTAAAAAGTTGGGCTGGGCTAGGCAAAGTTTCATGAAGTTTTCTGTTTGCTCCTTAGTAACTGGAACAAGAGCACTCTTGGCAAGATCCTTCAATAAAACTAGCTTTTTTAACCACAGAAACAGTTCACTTTGTTTTGGAATCTTCAGGCCTAAAATTAGGGTGAGAATATGGAATAAATATATAAAAAATTACTACCATATTCTAGAACAAAACTAGCAAGAATCTTAAAAATATATAAAATATACTAAAAATGTGTTAAAATTAAGTAATTTCTTTTTTTATATAAATATTCTATTAGATTTTTATAAGGATAAAGGGGAAGTGGGGTCAATAAGGGTATAACAAGGGGTGACAAACAAAAAAGGTTAGAGCAGGGGAAGGGATCAGTACAATAGTGGGGTTATCCCCTACATTAAATCAACGCTTCAGCAAGTAAACCTGTCCGGGTATATATATTCAATCATGATAATATAAGATAATAGTACTTGATATAATATTACTAATTATATTACTAATTAATCAGATAACTTTAACACATTAATATATTACTTATTAGTTATAGTTACTTATTGTTAAAATCACAAAAAGAAAAAGGAAAAAGAATTCATAGAAATAAACATAAACATTAAATACAAAATAATTAAGTAATTTCTTTTATCAACATCCTCAGCTGGTAAATAGCAATAGCACTTAGACTTATATACCGCTTCACAATGCTTTACAGAAGGGGTCCCCAACCCCTGGGCCACAGCCCATTACCGGTCCATGAGCTGTTCAAAACTGGGCTGCCTGAAATGGCGGGCAAGTGTGTGCATGCACGCACATCCCCCTTGCGTGAGTAATGGAGAGTATGTGCATGTGCACTCCATTTGTGAGTTGAAGTCCATGCCTCACATTGCCATGGTAGAGAAGCCCTGATCTAATGGGTCAATTGGAGAAAGGACTGAGGCCACAACAGCAAGAACACTCTAGTGCAGTGGTGGCGAACCTATGGCACTAGTGCCAGAGGCGGCACTCGGAACTCTCTCTGTGGGCACACGTGCCATTGTCCCAGCCTTGCCTCCCCCCATGACCCGCTCACCAGCAGCCCCCCCTGGAGGAGAGTCGCCCCCAAGTGTGGCCCATGCCGAGCAGCGCAGCCAAGGACATGGCAGCCAGGCAGCATAGACAAGACTCTGCCCTCACGCCCCATCACGCACAGTTGATGCTGCAGGGTGCAGGGTGAGGGTGTGGCCACCATGGTGATCTGTGACGGGCCCTGGAGGCAGTGAGTGGCCCTGGAGGCAGGTGGGGTGGGGGCGGGATGGGGGGTGGAGCAGGGGCAGGGCCAGTTTTTGGGCACTCGGTTTCTAAAAGGTTCGCCATCACTGCTCTAGTGTGTGATGGTTGGGTGGATGCAGAAGAACCAGCAAGTCATGGAATCGGAAGTGATATCTTTTGCAAGGCAAGTTAGTTGAGGATCCCTGTGAAAAGTGTGATTGTGTTGTGTATGTTGACATAGTTAATATATATATTGCCTCTTTAAAGATCAGTTGTTTTTTAATGGGTTTTGTTGGATCTGGAGGTGCATTCCCCCTAGTTCTATGCTGGCTGAAATTTCTACCATAGGCCTGATTGAAACTTTTTGAAAAGGGATTAGAACAAAACCCTAATGGGAGGTTCTAACATTGGTTACAGTTTTGAATTGAAATCTAGCTGCTGTGTTACAAATGGGCTACCCAGAAGTAGCTATGAAGAAATGAAATTTCTGATGAGAGAAGTCATCTCCAAACAGCCCATCCTCATTATATAATCTAGATCAGGCATAGGCAACCTTGGCTCTTTCATGACTCATGGACTTCAACTCCCAGAATTCCTGAGCCAGCATGGCTCAGCTTGGAAACCTCTCCCTTTCCCCTCAGCATGACTGGCTCAGGAATTCTGGGAGTTGAAATCCACGAGTCATAAAAGAGCTAAGGTTGCCTACCCTGATCTAGAGTTTGAGCCAAGCATTCTGGCCTTTTCCTTCAGACTTCTCTCACTTGATGTAGATACTTACCAGCTGGGCAGAGGAGGGCTAAAGAGGAGACATGGGCTGGATAGAGAGCGGCATAAACCCCAGCAACCATGCCTCCCATGGACATGCCAACCAGATGGAAAGGCTTGTGGTTCAGGCCAGCACACTGGACAAACTGAAACAAACATTGGGAACAAAGAGATTGTGGTTGTTCTTTCATGAGATGCTCACCCATCCTAATCCCTTCTTTCTAGAACTAATTACACAATACAACGAACAATAAACTAATTACATGGGCTAAGTTCACACTGCCTGGTAGGGTGAAATATTGCTCACGATTCAGCGATTCATGCAGATTAATGTTTATATGGCTGATGCAGCAGCCTCTAACATGACAAGTAAGAATGTCATCCAGCAGTAAGAACAAGATTGAGTAAAGAGGGAACTTTATGGTAATAAAATACATTTTGTAAAGAAATTTGGTTATGCAGTGTAGGCCTATAGAACAATGTTGATGCTTCCAAAATATGGAAAAGGTATCTCACAGGGATAATGATGAATCAAAAGTAATAATGACAAAATTGAGAACATCTGTTACAGCCCTTTATTAAGATGCTCACAAGATAAGAATAATACTAAATACCTGAAAATTTTCCCTCTACTGGAGAGTGCACAAGACTCTTGGACGTGACAGTTGATGTCCCATTTGTAATTCCAGCCCAAAACATGACAATATTGCACAAATCAATAAGTGTTGGGGGAAACTTTAATCACTATAGGCCTGGGCATATTTTTCTAGGATTGTCATAATAATCACCCAACATCAGACTGAAGCTGTCCTAAATAAACCCCAAGTAATCAGGATTCATTGACATTAGTAAGCGGATAAGGAGCGTGCAATTGCAATGTCTTCCATGTTGGACTTATCTGTGGAGATTTGGATTCAGTTCTTTAACTCTCTGAGGTTCATTAAGTACCCATGGGCAAATCATAGCTAGAGCTAGTTTTCCTTGAACTGTTTTGAGGTTAAAGCTGGACAACCTACATCTGAGAAGGAATTGAATAGGAATGAAAATAATGAAGTACCACGCAATGCACAGCTACTTCACACATCTGTGTGACTTTTGAAGGGATTGATTAGAAAGCATTGGGTTTCTCTTATGTGCATTTTTAGAAAAAAGATTCTTGCTAGATGGCAACATCTAGCCAACTTTGGTTCATCTTGGAAAATTTAAGCAGGGTTCAACCTGACCAACATTAGGAATATCTGATCCAGAGTGAAAAAGTAAAAACAAAAGGATGGAGTCAGTGGCAAAACTCTTTTGTTTCCAAGAAATTAAATGGACAAGCCCATGACTCAAAGGAGATTCTACATTTTTAATTCAAAAGATAGATATTCTATATATTTTTCATTGCACAGTCACTCCTGGAGTTTATATCTAATTTCTCTCACACACACACCACTCACTTTCCCCATTTGCTGCCACTCACCAGCCTTCAAAGAACAATGTATCACATCACTGCTCAAGAAAGGCCCTACCTGGTGTATCCTTTTAGCTTGAGCAACTGCTGTGTAACTTTCTCCAAGCAAGCGAGTGGTTCCCCCGTGACCTGGCAGATCAAGGCAGATCAAGTGGAGGCCCTTAGGAAAGACCTATGGGGAAATGGTTGGGCACGTGAAGCCAAGGAATCAAAACAAAAATAGCTGGCTTTGTTCACTGCCAAAGGCAGGACTAGAGAAGAAATGTGATTCTTTGTCCCAGACCAGATCCAGTTCTCTCCCCCAATATCTACACCCACCCTACCCCATCTTTTCAATTTCTTCCACTGCTCTCAGCTGAAGCATTTGGAAAGCAGTGAGCATGCTCAGACATCCTTGATTTATTTGGGGAGATGATTATCCTCCTTAGATTTCACTCCCTTCTGGCCGCTAGCTGCTCCACCAACAACATGTTATTGATAGCCCAAAGCTCATAAGGTCAACAATTTGCACAGGGTCTGAGTTTCCCAGTCTGCTTTATCATAGTGGCAGATGGCTGGTTCTCAGCTAACCCCAAGAAGATAAAGAAGCAGAAAAATTGGCTAGAGCCTTAGATATAGGCATGAGCCATTCTAGCCAGGAACTCTGGAGATGGTTCTCCTGCTTGGAAGATTACCAGAGTGGGGCAGGTTGTACCTCAGAGACACCCACAGCATTATCTTTGGTCTTCCACCCATCCCACTCTGCTCAATGGCAAGAAGGCTCAGGGGCAGATGGGACACAGGGAGTGATATGAGCACATTTCCTTTAAGAGAAAGAAGGCTTCAGCAAGCACATAGGACGTTTTGTCTATGACTTCTAGTACCCAAGGCCAGACTAGCACCATCCAAGCTAGAATAAAGGGAAGACCTACTTCAATGGTGTTTAACCACATGTCTTTGTTGAGTGAGAATCCATGAAGCATCAGCACAGATGGTTGGGATCCAGGCTTCCCTCGCATGAAGTATCTGAACCGGTAGCCCTCACTATCGAGATTCTTTACCTTCACACCCATGCTGTGACGCTTAGTCCTGAAAGAATGGAGAACAAGTATAGGAGGCGGATGGGGATTTTGTGGAGGAGGCGTATTGTGGAATGACTTCCATTCCAAGCTTGGTTTGTGGTGGGTGGAAGAGGCTATGAAAGCTGTCATACATTACAGGCCACCCAACCAATCAGAAAAAAATAGATGAACTCTTTGCCAATCAGTTAACAAATGTATGTAGGAAGCATACCACAATAGTAATGGGAGACCTCAATTATCCAGATATCAACTGGGAGACAAACTCTGCAGTGAACAGGAAATCAAAAAGATTCCAAACCAACCTCACCAACAACTTTATTACTCAAAAGGTGGAGGAAGGAACTAGACGTAAAGCTATATTGGACTTAATCCTTACAAATAGAGAAGAAGTGATAGAGGGAATTGAAATTGCTGGAACCTTGGGTGAAAGTGACCACGTCATACTGGAATTTAATATAATGCAAACACTACAATAGAAAACAATCCAACCAGTGTCTTAAACTTCAAAAGAGCTGACTTTAACAAACTCAGAGAGAACCTAGGAAATATCCTATAGATGAAAATCCTAAAGGGGAAAACAACCCATGAAGCATGGGAAACCCTGAAAAATGCAATCATAAAAGCCCAGACCACCACAATACCATTGAGAAAGAAAAACAAGAATTTTTAGAAGAAACCAGCATGGCTGCACAAAGATCTCTCTGACAAACTGAAAGACAAAAAGGACAAATACAAAAAATGGAAAGAGGGGCACATAAGGCTGATTATCAGCAGACAGCCAGAACATACAAAGATGAAGTCAGGAAAGCAAAGGCTCAGAATGAACAAAGACTTGCAATAGAAATCAAGGATAATAAAAAAAAGTTTCTTCCAATATAGTAACAACAAGAAAAAAGTCAAGGAAACTGTAGGCCACTAAAGAGAGAAGATGGCAAGGAAATAACAGGCAACATGGAGAAAGCAGAGCCACTTAACTTATACTTTGCATTTCACACAAAAAAAGAACTATAGCCAACATACAAAAAAAAACCTACTGCAAAAGACATGCCAGAAACAAAAATTAAAACAAGCAAGAAAATAGTAAGAGAACACCTATCTGACCTTGACGAATATAAATCACCGGGACCTGACAGATTACCTCCCAGAGTTCTGAAAGAGCTGGCAGATGTTATCTCAGAACCATTGCACCACATCTTTCATAAATCCTAGAGCACCGGGGAAGTACCTGAGGATTGGAAAAGGGCTGATGTGGTTCCCATCTTCAAGAAAGGAAAAAGAAACAGACCCAGGAAACTACAGACCAATCAGTTTAACATCAATACCTGGGAAGATCCTAGAAAAGATAATCAAAAAACAGATCTGCGAACAACTAGAAGCAAACAAAGTCATAACCAGTAGCCAGCACGGCTTTGTTAAAACAGATCATATCAATCCAATCTTATTTTTTTCTTTGATAAAGTGACTAAACTAGAAGACCAGCGAAATGCTGTGGACATGGTATAGTTAGATTTCAGTAAGGCATTTAATAAAGTATAGGAGAGAGTTGAAGCTTTGTGTCTTTCCTTCCTGCTGAGGTGAAGTGCTCTCCACCCATCCTTGAATCCGCTAAAAGATTTTTTTTTCTCTTTTCATGACCGTTTTATCAATGTGAAATCAGGGTGGTTGAATGGAACTGAGCGTTTACCGCTGGATGCTCTTCCTGACACCTACGTGGTGTTTCCAGCAGATATTTTCTCTTTCCACCCTGATAGAGAAACATCTGCCACTGCCTAGGATTGAACTCTCAACCTCCTGAGTATGAGGACAGCATCTTCACCTCCAGGCCACCTCACAGCTCAATCCGCTAAAAGCAATACTAGCATGATATTGGCAATTTCTGTTGCCAACCCATTATTGTGCCTCTGTTGCTTTTGCTCCAAAGTTCCCTCACTTTCCTTCAAGGTAATGGGTGATGTAGCCTATCACATTTTATACACCTTGAAGCTGCCTTTGGACAAATAAGGGAAAATATTGTTTGAATAACCGATACAGCCAACAATAACCAAAGACCATCTCATCCATGGGCTGGGGTTGAAGTGAAGACATTAGGACAACACAGTAAAAAAAAGTGGGGAAAAAAACCACAACAAGTTGGCAAAGATGTTTGTGCAAGTGAGGAGAAGGCTCTGAAAGTAGGTACCATTCCCGCATGAGAGAACAGGCAAAATTCTAAGTTTATTTACTGAAAGCTTCATAGTCCCAAGATATAAAGAGTAAGGAAGCTGGTCTTGAAGGAAAGATGCAAGACCATTATCTAGGCATTTGGGAGGGGGGGAAAACATTTCTTAAGGCCTGAGAAACATTCAGAAATGGCTCCTTGATTCACAGGGAGGTACAGTACAGTCAATCTTATATGATTCTATTATTACAGGCTTTCTCAAAAAAAGTAGTTATAGACTTCCAGAGGAGTTGATTTCTTTTCTGTCTAATGGGGCTGACACATTCTCTGTGCCTGGCAATGTTCGGACTGTGACTATTCATGATCAGACTTCCCAGTGCTCACTTTTCCTTTAAAAATCTTTGGCTGCTGTGGAGGACCTTTCTCCACATGAGCCCAATAACAGCATACTTGATCTTGTCTTCAGTCCATAGTTTTAATTCCTTCCTTCCTTCCTTCCTTCCTTCCTTCCTTCCTTCCTTCCTTCCTTCCTTCCTTCCTTCCTTCCTTCCTGCCTGCCTGCTGCCTGCCTGCTTGCCTTCCTTCCTTCCTTCCTTCCTTCCTTCCTTCCTTCCTTCCTTCCTTCCTTCCTTCCTTCCTTCCTTCCTTCCTTCCTTCCTTCCTTCCTTCCTCAAGTTTGTATGCCACCTGACCCTCAAGTGACTTTGGGTATGGGCATAAGTGTGACAGATCTAAGTCACTAGATATTATTCTGGCAGTGTTTGAGGGAACCCTGAAGATATATAAATCTCTTAGGCTTTGGACTCTTCCTCACAAAGCTGCATTGATGTTCCTTTCTCCAGATCCTGAATTGGGAGAAAAATAATCCTGGCATAATTTAAATGGCATTGCTCTAACCACTGAGCTTTAAACTCCATCACTAACATGGCTTGTGAGCGGTTTAATTTATACAACTTTACTGTGGAGCTTTTAAAGTTGTTAGTTGGTGAATTATCTGGCATTGCTTCCACTCTTCCACCCAGGATTTGCAACTGGTGGGAAAAACCACCCCCAGTCGCTCTCCTTAGAAGCAGGGTAGGCTAGGATGAACGTGAACAGGTAGTTGGGATGGAGATTTAGCCTCTTTTCAAATTACTCAAGTGACAGATGGCAGGTGTAGAGATGCTTTAGACCAGACTATTTCTGAAGATAGAGTCTGCTTCTGGAAGAATGGTAGACCCATGTCCCAAAAATAGCCCAGCTGACAGGTGAAGGAGGGGTAAGGAGGAAGCTTTCATGTCATTTTAAAACTCTCAGTACCACTTCATCCTACCCTGTCATTCATATCAGAGGTCCCCAACCTTTGGGGCACCAGGGACTGGTAGCATGGAGAGAGGTTTTTCTGCAGACCAGAGGGGCATGGTTTTGTATGCTGCCTGCATCCTGTGGATGGGGCTTTGCTTGTTTGTGCGGACCGGTTGCTGGCATGTCGCTGCCCGGTAATGGTCCATGGACCAGTGGTTGGGGACCCCTGATTTATATCACCAACATGCAGTGGTGGGATTCAGCCAGTTCGCACCACTTTGGTAGAACCAGTAGCTAATTTTTTGTTGCCCAGACCCAGAATGGACTTCCGGAAGTAGCATCCACACAGAGAACCGATTGTTCAAGCATTTGAATCCTACCACTGCCAACATGTCATCTGAGCTATTTTTGGACAAGACTTCAGAACAGGTACTGTAGATCAGTATACAATACCTGAACTATGGTCTAACTCAGGGCTTTTCAACCAGTGGTACGGGTACCACCTGTGGTACATTGGCATCTGGCAGATGGTACGCAACCATCCCAGAAAAGTGATAGTGGGGGAGGATAATGAGCTGAACTGGTGGCAGCACCGCACAAGCCTGAGCGAGAGATGGCTGGAGCTGCAGGCCTGTCAGGGCTCAGTGGAAGCACCAGGATCAGCACTTCTTTGGGATTGTCAGAGCTCAGTAGAAGCATCAGGATCAGTGCCAGGCTCCAACTGGAGCTTAGCATTGATCCTGGCACTTCTACTGAGCCCAGAAGAAGTGCCGATCAGCTGGAATGTTGCAGCATCTCCAGAGTCTTCTGATTTACATTCAGATGCTTGGCAACTGATTCATATTTGTGATGGTCACAGTGTCCCAGGGTCATGTGAAGTGACCAAAACCTATTGCAACCACCCAGCAGACAGGGGAAATAAAAACCAAACAGCCCCCCCACCCCCACCCCTGCTGCCAATCCTCAACAGAAATGCTCACAACAGTGAAAACCTCGGACAGGAGGAAGAGCACCACCGGGTGGGCAGGCAGGTGTTTTGCTCGGCTGTGGCTTGGGGGCCACTTTTTTCAGTGCCATTGTAACTTTGAACAGTCACTAAGCAAACTGTTGTAAGTCAAGGATTACCTGTACTTCATTACTTTTTTCCTTTTTTTTTTTTTTTGGTCATCAAGTTTTTGACACCTTGCTAGGCGACTGGTGATACTCGGATATTGCCATATCCTAAAACTGGTACAATGGGTGAAACGGTTGAAAAGCCCTAGTCTAACTGACCAAGTATGTCATGTATTATATAAGAAATATACTTACCAGATCATGATCCGGAATATTAGAGAAGGCAGCTGATTGTACTTTGAGATAAAGAGGTTAATTAAGACGTCTAAAGCACCGTATATGATAATTTTGACCTTGATGCAATTCATGCCTGTAAATAAAAGTGGTTCTTTGTCACTTTTGTTGCCTAAAAAAAAACCACATGATATAAATATGCACGGCTTCATGATTTTAGATCCTGTTAACCAATGACTCAGATGATAAAAGCAAGGGTTTAATTATACTGTCTAATTAATTATACCATAGTTAGGGTGCTGGCCAATAACATGGGTAACCTCATTATAAGGTTTGCACATTCATGAAGGATTAAGCTATGGATCATTAGTAACTTATACATGACCATTCATATAAGAAGCAATTTTATTGTTTTATGATTGTTTTAACTCTGTACGCCGCCCTGAGTCCTTTGGGATTGGGCGGCATATAAATAAAATTAAATACAAATTAAATACAAAATATGGATTTGAAGTATTACGACCCCTTTAGATAACAGGAATGGTTTCCCTGTAGAATAAACAAATAACCTGTGAAATTTGCAACCACAAAATATACAATTTGGATAGTTTTCAAAAGAGATCAGATATATTTAGGAATTGGGGGGGGGGTATAAGACTTTAAAAGTTTTCTGGCTGTAGAAGTTATGGATTACCTAAAATCCTAAGGCAGTATAGCTCTTGAAAAGCATTTTTGGAAACAAGACCAATCTCTGGTCACCTCTGAAATAGAAAGCTGAACTAGACAAGTCTTTAGACAGATCCCACAAGGTTCTTCTTATGCTCTTATGACCAGAAGGTATATCATCCCCAAGTTACCTGAACAGAAATGAATTGTGTTAATTTTGGGTATATGAAAAGGAGGCAGGTGACAAAAATCCGAAGTAAGGCCTACAGTCACTGCGTGATGTTCAAGCTTTTTTAAATTGGAAAGAACACACAAACATACACAGACACATATGAAAATGATGGGTTAATTTATTCAGTATAGGGAAAATATAAATACAGTATGTGATCCTATAACAGCTTTCAACAATGTAAAAAATGCATTCATGACTCAGAGGAGCTACACACTACACCCTTAGCAATCTAGATCATCCTCTGGATGAGCAGGATGAATCAGGATGGGGGAGCTTATTTTGCTGACTACTTACAATGTTGTTTACATAGGTCATTCTGAACAAATGCCCATGGAAGTGATCAGATACAAATTCTGGAAAACGTAATCCAAACAGAAATTTTCTATAAAGTAAAGATTGCAAGCTGCAATCTAATGGTCCTTGGGATAAACAAAGTAAGATTCTCTCCTCCAAAGTGATGTACTTCTAATGGAGGAGGAGGAGGAGGTGTGGCTCAAGATTGACTCAGCCTTCCATCCTTTGGAGGTCAGTAAAATGAGGACCCAGATTGTTGGGGGTAACATGCTTATTCTTAGAGAGGGCTGTAAAGCACTGTGAAGCAGTATGTAAGTCTAAGTGCTATGGCTATTGCTAAGTGCTAAGGAGAGGGAGTTTTGCAATTGTGGAATGATCAGGAGAAGCTTTGCAACCAATACTTTCTCAGATCTTCAGTCCCATCCCCCACCTTCATCTCTGAGGCTGGGGAAGTTGGTAAATGACTCTGTGTACTGGTCTCCAATAATTCACTCTACCATTTGTAACTGGGAGGTTTTTTTTGTTTTTTTTAAAATAGCATTTAAAGATGAGGAACAGAAGTAAGCCTTTCTGGCCCTTACTTCCATCCTGCACTGGATTTCTTGCAACCTCTGACATCAGATGCTCCAAAGACAGCATATATTTGCTGTCTAATGGTAGATATTTTGGAAGCATATTTATTATTTTCTGTTCAAGGTCAAGTTTATGGAAGTTAAGGGAAAATCACACTAGTTCTCTGTGCATAGTGCAGTTTGTTGGGTGGAGCATCCGGTCTACCAAATATAAATCAGCCTGTTCTGCGTTTCACTCCAATCTAGGAGCAAGTTTTGCAGGCAGACGTTACATACTGTAAATACATATAATGAAACAAATATATGTTTAACATATATGAAGAAGAGCTGAGCCAACATTGGGCTGATTCATGTTATTCATGCACTATAAATAACATTTACTTTGTCTTAACAGGTTGTTTAGCCTTTCCTTTTTCGTTCACAAATTTGAGTTATGGCAACATCTACAAACCCTCTCAGCTTTAATGGTACTTCCTTCCAGCAATACTCTAATAGGATTGTAACCCATAGACAGAAACAGACATTTGGAAACTAACTGGAAAATTCTCTGTTATTTCCATATAGAGCCTTACCTGAGATGGGTAAGGATGATGACTGTCCACTGTTTGTGCCTCTTTGCAATTGTTGGCGATCTGCATTTTGAAGCAGGATGGAAGAGGCTTTAAAAGCTGCCTTGCTCATGTGGAGGTGTTAGAACAATCATTTATTCCTCCCACATCTGGAATCTTTGGAAACTGCCTTTTGGAGCTTGGATAGTTTGCCTTTTCATCGCTTTGTCTGGCACCTTAAAAAAAATATCAGAAGGTTGTTTTTTTTAATAACTTTATTAAAAGTTTTGAATAGAACAATAAAAATAGTGCAAATGAAAAAAGAGAAACAATGCAAGAAAGCAAAAAAGATGTATACAAGTAATCCTTGACTGACAACCGTTGTAGTGGTAAGTGACCATTCAGAGTGAAAAAAGACTGAAAAAAAGTGACTTATGACCTGTTTTCATGCTTACGACCATCACAGCATCTCCAGGGTCACGTGGTCAAAATTTGGCAACTGCTATGTATTCATAGCAATAGCACTATGGGAAAAACAAGACTTATAGTGCTGACGTTCCAATGGCCGCCACCCCCTGTATTTATATCAGTTTTTTCCAATATATTTCATAATTTTAACATTACTCTCTAACTGGCACATTCTGCATCCACGTAGTCTTTGTTTTGCTCAATCTGAGTATGTTATTTCAGTAACAATATGTAAATAAGCCTCAAGAAGTATTCTGAATTCTGCACCGTAAACGTTTGAAATTTGAATATTTCACCTGGTTTTCATAATTCTTTGTGGAATATGCTACTTATTGAAACCAGTGAGATGGTTCTAATACTGCAGGGAAAAATTTTTTGAAATGAGTTTATCTTTATTTTGTTAAAGATTAAACTTTGAAACCTATATGAATTATCTTCTATGATCGTTTTTTTGTACATTTACCTTCAAGAAAAAATGTTAATATTGAAGCAAATAGCTTTATGTTCAGATTTATTCTTCTTTTGTATTTTTAGTGTGTAGTTTATAATGAAATATTCTCTTATATATTGTACACTTCTATTATTTATATTATATAAAAACCTTCTAGCTATCCTGTTCCTTCATCTGAAGAAACCAGCTGCTTGGTGATACAACCCAGACCACAATCCCTGTTAAATGACAGGTTTGATAATATCATATGAAGTTTGGTATTGCCAGTCCACCTTGTTCTTTCATGTCTTGCAAAATCCTAAATTTAATCCTTGGTCTTTTGTTTGACAATGCAATTTATTATTTGTCTCTGCCACTCTGTATTTTCTCCAATTCTTCTTGGAATCATTTGAATATATATATATATATATTCAAATATATATATATGCTTCACCAGCCTGAAGATGAGCACATTTTATTTTTTCTTTTATGATCTTTTAATTCCTTTATCTGGGGTGGAATTGGGGTGACTGAATGGAGCTGAGCATTTACTGGCCGGATGCCCTCCTGATGCATAATAATAATAATAATAATAATAATAATAATAATAATAATAATAATAATAATAAAAGATAACAAAATACAAAGACCTACAAATAGAAATAGAAAGACTGTGGCAAAAGCAAGCAAGGGTAGTACCAATAGTAATAGGCTCCTTAGGTGCAATCCCAAAACTGAAGCACCACTTGAACACCATTGGCATTGACAAATTCGCTATTACTCAATTGCAAAAGGCGGCCTTATTAGGAACTGCTTCCATCCTGCGAAGATATCTGTAATACCATCAAACATCCACATCTGCCTATCCCAGGTCCTGGGTAAGGACTCGATAGGTAGACAAAATGCCAAATCCAGTCTGAACATCTGGCTGACTGTGCGATGATCAATAATAATAATATAGTAAAGTTGGAAGGTACCTTGGAGGTCATCTAGTCTAACCCCCTGCTCAGGCAGGAAACCCTACACCATTTCGGACAAATGGCTGTCCAGTCTCTTCTTAAAAATTTCCAGTGTTGGAGCATTTACTGCTTCTGGAGGCAGGTTGTTCCACTGATTAATTGTTCTCACTGTCAGGAAGTTTCTCCTTAGTTCTAGGTTGCTTCTCTCCTTGATTAGTTTCCACCCGTTGCTTCTTGTCCTGCCTTCAGGTGCTTTGGAAAATAGCTTGATTCTCTCTTCTTTATGGCAGCCCCTGAGATATTGGAATACTGCTATCATGTCCCCCCTTGTCCTTCTCTTCGTTAAACTAGACATAACCAATTCTAGCAACCGTTCCTTATATATTTTAGCCTCCAGTCCCCTAATCATCTTTGTTGCTCTTCTCTGTACTCTTTCTAGAGTCTCAACATCTATTTTACATCGTGGTGACCAAAACTGGATGCGGGTATTCCAAGTGTGGCCTTACCAAGGCATTGTAGAGTGGCATTAATACTTCACGTGATCTTGATTCTATCCCTCTGTTAAGGCAGCCTAGCACTGTGTTGGCCTTTTTGGCAGCTGCAGTACACTGCTGGCTCATATTTAGGTGATTGTCTACTAGGACTTCGAGGTCCCTCTCACAGTTACTACTATTGAGCATGGTGCCACCTATGCTGTACTTGTGCATTTGATTTTTCTTGCCTAAATGTAGAACCTTGCTTTTTTCACCATTGAATTTCATTTTGTTAGTTAGTGCCCAGTGTTCATGTCTGTCCAGATCCTTCTGTATCTTAAACTTGTCTTCTGGAGTGTTGGCTATTCCTGCCAGCTTGGTGTCGTCTGCAAATTTGATGAGTTCCCCATCTATCCCCTCGTCCAAATCGTTGATGAAGATGTTGAAGAGCACTGGGCCCAGAACAGAGCCCTGGGGCACCTCCTACACACTTCCCTCCATTTAGATGTGGTTCCATTGAGGACCACTCGCTGAGTATGGACGGTCAGCCAACTACGGATCCATCCGGTGGTGATTCTGTCTACCCCTACATGGAGTTCACAGCAGATATGTTCTTTTTGGGCCCTGATAAACATCTGCCACGGCCTAGGACTGAACTCTCAACCTTCTGAGTGTGAGGAGAGTGTCTTCACCTCTAGGCCACCACACCTCTCTAAGTAATAACAGAATAACAGAGTTGGAAGGGACCTTGGAGGTCTTCTAATCCAACCCCCTGCTCAGGCAGG